GATCTTTGTCTTTGAGAGTCCGGGTATATCACGAGTCTAAAAAGAACCTTCAATTATTATTATTATTATTTTTCCTTTGCTTGTTTTGCCATCATATAACTTCTCTTGTAGCTGTTTTTTTCTTCTTGATTTAATTGGAAGCAATTCCCTCTCATTCCAGGTGTAGAGCAAGGTGATTTGGACCCATCTCCTGTGCAAAGTTTGGATGGAAGTTTTAGAAAGTTCATATCTGGTAACCATTGCTTTTTATTTATTTATTTTGATATTCTCAATAAATATAGTCTCAAATAATGTTGAGGCAGACTACAAGAAAGGGGTTGAGTCAAGAGTAATAAGACCTAGAGAATGGTTACAAGAAACCAAACATATCCAAAAAGACTCTCATCCTAAAGTCCCCACAAAATAGCACACACCCCATCTTTGAAGGGTAGATGAAGGAAAAACTCCTCAAATGCCTCCTTACAACTCAAAAAAATTGTGCTAGGTTGCTCGAGCACAATCACAACTCTAGGGGCTATCTTGCTTATGCGTCGTCTTTTCCTCAATGTCCACTCTGTGTGGTGTGTTGGATGATGCACTGTTCTCCCCGGTCGCATCACGACACTCATCTAGGCCCTAGTGTGGCTAGATGGGTGCCATTTGAGAGTCGTCGTTTTGCTTATTGCAACGTAAGGGTCAGTACCTACTCTTTTCATAGTGTGGTTGTGACATCAAGCACCAACAGGGACCACATAAGCTAAACAACCCACCCAACTCATCCGAGAACAACTTCCTCCCTCTTTGTTTGGGAGGCTTGAGACATCCACCCTCCAACACCTGGAAGCTGAAGAAACCCGCATTGAAAAGGCCCCTTTAACCATGTTTGGATTTAACAAGAATGACGATGTTGAGGTTTTCCTATGCAATGACCTCTTTAATCAATCTCCTATTCTCCATGCCTGCAATGGCTCAAGCCCACCGCTAGCAAATATTGTCCGCTTTGGGCTTTCCCTTTCGGGGTTCCCCTCAAGGCTTTAAAACGTGTTTGCTAGGGAAAGGTTTTCACACCCTTATAAAGGGTGTTTCATTCTCCTCCCCAACCAATGTGGGATTGTAGGACGTCACAATACCCCAAAACCTCTTACATTCCAAGCAATCGCTTTCGTTTTACACAATTTGAAACTCTGCCTTATTTGCTGTTTTCCTTCTCTTATAATTTACCAAACACTCCAATTTCTTGAGCTCTCTATCCCTTTTTCTTTACTCCCCCTTTAGATTTACCTGTAGTTCTATTCTTTGGCTTAGCCAAAGGACAATAAACTTTAGGGAATAGATTGACTTCCATAAGGGCACTTTGGAATAAAGAATAGTGTGGGGATAATTGGATATGCAACTAAATGATGTTTCAATTACTTTCTTATCCTCACAACGCTTACATCAATATGCTACAGGTTTTCTTCAAAATGGTACAGACTTGTCTCCAGCTCAAAGCTTGGATGGAAGTTTTCGAAAATCACATTCGGGTTTGTACTCCTCGGTTAAAATTCCATTTTTGTCCCTATACTATTTGATGTGTATTACTTTGGTCTCAATTACCGTACATTCAATAAATCTTAAAATTAGTTCCTACTATTAGCGATCGTTAACTGATTCATATGACATAACGGTCATCTTCATTGCAGCTCAATCAGGGCGTAGTCCGTCTGCCACTGCTTCATCAGGCAAATTTGTTCCTGTTTCAAGAAGAGTATATAAAGTGCTGAAGGACTTTAAAAGAAAACTCAATGATTTTGAAATCTTTAATCAGAGTCTTGAGGATTGGGTTGTGGAGAATACTTCACCCCGTTCTGCAGATGAGGAACCAAATTTTCCACCGCCATTTGCGATTGACGAAATTCACGAGCTCGATTTGGCAGTAGAAGGAGTCTTGTTTCAGCAACTGTTTCGTATGCCATGTTCACCGTTCTCCGATGATCTAATCGAAGATGAGTTCCTTGCACTTGAAGACTTCTTTCATGCTATCATCAACGGTTTATGGCGAACGTTTTGGCATAAGAGTAGACCGTTACCTTTCTTTGTATCCTGCCCCCGTCACTTAGGATCGAAATTCTATACCGTTGAAAAGGCGATATCAAGGGGAAAGGTGGGAGAGTTACTAGGCTTAGGCTTGATTTCTAGAGTTGGAGATGAGCTACAAGTACGTTGGGATCAAGTCGTGCAGTTTGCTTTATTCAAGGCTAATGTACTATCAGAAGACGGGTTGAGGTTATCGGCTCGTGTTGTTTGTGAAGCTCTCTTCTATGGCTTACATTTACTTATTTCTAGGAGTTTAAGCAAAATTGGTACTGTCAAGAACTATGATTCTGTTTTCGTTTTGATATTAGATTCAAAATATGGTGGCGTAGTAAAACTCGGCGGAGATCTTAGCAGGCTCGACATTAACTCGGCTAACCCATACCAATCAGCAGTTGAATGGATGAGAGACTATGCTGAAGTATGCGTTTCACCGGTCGACCGTATATGGAACAAACTTGGAAATGTAAACTGGGGAGACTTGGGAACTTTACAAATCTTATTGGCAACTTTCTACTCTATAGTCCAATGGCATGGTCTGCCAAGACACTCGATTACGTCTTTAGCATCAGACCATGGTTTGCGTTTACAGAAGCGTTGGATCGAGTGTCGAGTGTCCGAAAATGAAAATACAATAGTTCCTTTTGAACAGTTTAATGATCATCCTGGAGAGATTGTTGAACTCGAGCAGATGGATAATGATGTGTACAAGAACCAAGCATTGCGTTTGAAGCTTCGTCCCGGGGAAATACTCGTTGTTGATGATCAAAGACAAGGGCAAAAAAGCTTCGAGGTGCAGGGATCCTTGGTTGGTGTTAATAACTGTTCTTTATACACTGCTGTTTCTGTTGATTATCCTGCTGAGTTGTTGACGCTTTACGTTGGCGCTCACGTGTCGAAGCTCGAGCCATCTTGGGAGGATATGAGTCTTTGGTATCAAGTACAGAGACAAACAAAAGTACTGAACATCTTCAAGTTACAAGGCATTTCAAGCAGATGCTTACCTGAAATCATTGCCTCAGGCCGAATCCTACATTCTGGTCCGTGTAAGAAGCAGACCATGGGGGGACGATGTGACCACCCCTGGTGCGGGACACCGGTGCTTTTGACATCACCGGTTGGTGAGCAGCTTTCATCTATAGTTGCTCGGGATGGCTCGTTATCTTCCGAAGAGGCGATTCGTTGTTGCCGGGACTGTCTAGCTGCTCTAAGAAGTGCATCTCTAGCTAGTGTCCAGCATGGTGATATCTGCCCTGAGAATATCATACGTGTTGTCGACGTGCAAGAATCAAAAAACGGTTACTTATACATTCCGATATCGTGGGGACGTGCCGTTTTGGAAGACCGTGACAGCCCGGCTGTGAACTTACAATTCTCATCCTCACATGCTCTCCAGCATGGGAAACTTTGTCCATCTTCGGACGCTGAGAGCGTCATTTATCTCCTCTATTACATTTGCGGCGGATCGATGGAGCAACAAGACTCCATCGAATCAGCATTGCAATGGAGGGAAACAAGCTGGGCGAAACGGATCATTCAGCAGCAGCTGGGCGAGGCGTCAGCCTTGTTGAAGGCATTTGCTGATTATGTTGATAGCCTTTGTGGAACGCCGTACACGGTCGACTACGACATATGGTTGAAGAGACTGAGCAGGGCGGTCGATGGGTCGTCGGATCGAGGCAAAACAGTCGAGGAAGTTGCTATAACATTGAAGCTGGAAGATGTGGCTGAGTCTTCAGGAACATCAGGAGCTGGTGCTTTTTAAGGTTGTTTATTATATTCCATTGCTGAGATTTGAGTGGGGATTTTTAATTTTTTTTTTGTTTAAAAGAATGAGAGATGAATTTGTATGAATGTTACAAGCTTTCTCCTCGTGGGGAATATGATTTTGTGAAATTGTTTCCACTGTAAATGTATAATGTTTGCTCAAAGTTTATGAAATCATGTTTATGCTGTTCATCGATTGGGTTTGATTTTGAGTTCGACTCGTTTAGTTTCACTTTAGATAACGACTTGTTTTCGAAGTTCTCGAGAAGATTTTGATCTTTGAAGTCTCTCGATATTCAAAAGTCTAAGTATATTGATTTCAAAGTCCAATCGTAAAATCCATTAGGCCATGATTCAAGAACAATGAAACTGTATATAGAAAAAGATCAGCCAATATGACATCGATATCGATATGGCTGAGTTGAGGGAGACTTTGATACCATGTTATAAGCAATTGATGATATTATACACTTTGAACATAAAGTCTCGTAGTTTTACTTTTAATATTTTTCAAAATGTCTCGTATTTATGAAAATAGTGTTCTTTACTTATAAACCCTGAAAAATTTTAGGATTTTGGTTTGAATTCTCGATTACCTTTCAAGATTTTTTTTCTTTTTTCTTTTAGGATTATTGGGAGTGAGTCCCCCATTAGTTAATTTAGTGAAAGATATGAGTGAGGAATACTATCTACATTGATATGAGACATTTTGGGGAAGCTCAAAGCAAAGTCACGAGAGTTTATTCTCAAAGTGGACAATATCATACCATTGTGGAGAACCATGTTCTCTGAAAGTGGACAATAGCAAAGCCATGAGAGCTTATGCTCAAAGTGGACAATATCATACCATTGTGGAGAGTCGTGTACTGTGAAAGTGGACAATAGCAAAGCCATGAGAGCTTATTGGAGGGAATTTTACTCGAAAAAATAATAGGTTTTGAGAGCCCGAACAAAAAGATGATCTATGAGGTGTAAATAAACTATTTTTGTTTTTTTATGAAATATTTTTTAAAGATGAGGGGTATTAATGTTTTATATATATATATAATTGTTGGAAAGTTGAGGGGTATTTGCGAATTTTTGGAAAGTTGAAGGACGTTTTTGAAAAGAAATATAAAGTTGATTATTTTTGATAATTTTGCGATACAATTAGTCGATAAATGCTCCCACGTCGTAGTCATCAGCCGTTTACTTCACCTTCCTCCGCACGCTTCACAATTCTGCGTCTCTATTTATATTCGTAAATTGTTTCATTTCAAAATTCTCAGAATCAGCAACATACTGGCGGTTATGGCGGAAGTTGGAGAGTGCTCTGCTTCAAATTCCTCCATACAAAACTGGGCGAAGCTAAGTATGTTTCCCCCTCTCACTTTGTTCTTCTCGGTATGTCTTTTGTTGGACTGATCCAATGCCTGTTCCGTGTTGCATTATTGGATTCTCTGTTTGATTTGCTTGTGCTCAGCGCTTGAGAGTTGGACAGTTTTGAAAATATAATCGTTCCATTTTTTGCAAGCAAAATTTGTTGCTATTCCAAATAAATGTTCTTTTGGGTTGAAATTATTGGGGAAGACAATGTAATTGAGGAATTGATTTTTGGTGGATCGAGAAAATGAACTAGGTTTAGCGTTTTTGAAGGTCGATGATTTATTTGTATCTGATTTACATCGATTTCATGAATTGTTAGCAGTATGAGTTACAGAGATCAAGCTACTTGTCTCACTAATTTTTCTATCGGTAGACAGTATAAGAATTAAGGAATTACTATTTTGGTGGAGATATACAAGAGGAAGATGAGAGTGAACCTTTCTCCCCAATTAAACGATCATAAAATTGTTACAAGATCATACCTGCAAGGAACACTATCTAGCTACCAAAAAACGAATAAAGTGCTCAAAGTCTATGTAACCTCTCTGAATTTATGGAAATTATTACTTTTGACATTGTCTCGAGACATTCCCATACCTCGTGGAAATTATTACTTTAGACATTGTCTCAAGACGTTCCCATACCTCCTGGAAATTATTGGTTTTAATTCTCTGTAAATAGAGATATATTCTTCACAACTTTCATTCTAATAAAATTCTAGACTTGATTCTTGTAGATTTCTCTTTTTAGTCACTTGATCATGAATTTGCATGAAAGAAACTTGATGGATTGAAGATATCATTCTCGAACATTTTTGTCATCTCTTAGATGATTTCTTTTTAAGAAACACTTCTTTCAAATTTTTATGTTGGGCAGGTAATATACAATTTCAATCTTTTTTTGAAAGGAGACACAAAACTTTCATTGACAAAATGAAAAATTACATATTAGATGTTGGCAAGCAGAATGGTTATTAAGTCTTTCATGGAATACAATGCAAACAAGAGGAGAAAGTACTCAAAAGCTATATTTATTGCAATCTTCTAATTAAAAAAAAAATATAAAAAAAATAAAAAAAATAAAAAAAACAAAAAAAAACTATTGCAATCTAAATTGGCATTGTTTTTGGAAATTAATTTGCTATTTTATTTTATTCTTTTCCAGTTTCACTTGATAAAAAATACGCAGATATTGAGATAAACTCAGATGAGGCTGTTATCTTCTCAGAGACAAAGTCCTCATCTGTTGATAAGTATGAATGGTGCAAAATCACAAGGAATTCCGATGTAAACTCTATCACTTTGCAGAATAGAAGGTAATATGTTGTGGCTACGAAGTAATTAGTACTAAAATCAAATTATATTCTTATCCCATAAATCAGAGCCTCCAAACAGTTTGGTGTAGGTATTTTAAGATTTTTTATATAATGGTAAATCTTAAGAAAGATCTCCACTTTTACCATTAGAGACTCTCGTGGAGCTTTTATATCGAAGTTTGGTGTAGAGAACGGCTTAAAGTTCATGATTTTTCACTGATGTCAAGGATTGTAGGGGTAGTAAGATCATGAGATTTAAGATAAAAATTTAGCCGAAAGTTTTTATGTTACTTTTAATATCAAAGTTTGTTTTTATATGTTTTTTAATTTTTTTTTTTTATATATGTATATATGGATATTTATTTTCTTGTTTCTTGGAGTTGTTGTATAGTGATGTTTGAAAAAATATTTATTGTCTTTACGATCTCCCTCTCTTTGTCTCTCCTTTTCTCTTGCCGTATGTTTTATCTATTGTGTTTTGGGTGCTATAGTTTCAATGCTATTCTTGTTGATGAGACTCTTGTTCAAAAGGATGACATTGCTTTCATCAAGTGTGGAAGCGAAATTGTTTCTGGTCCGGTCCAAGATGGTTAGTATTTTTTCAAACTCTTGTGTGAAAGAGAGTTTAACGTGATGGATGAATTAGAATTATTTGTTTTCAATTTATTGAAATATAACAGGATGAAAGTTCTCACTAATTTGTTATTTGAAAGTTAATTGTTTGTCATGTTAGTATATTGTTTACCGTGTTAGTATTTAATGTGCATAACTCGTGTTTGCTAAGATTTTTCCTTGTATATTTGTACTTTTTTATTTCTTTTCATATAGGTCTAGATTGATAGCTTAATGCTAGCATATATGATTGATAATTGTTCTATCTAAGTTTATCTTTCACATCACTCAAAAAATGAGAAGCATTCTAGCAAATATGTTTGATAATCGTTTTGTATAAATTTGAGTCTTTCACATCACACAAGAAACAAGAAATGCTTTTCTCTCATACATAGCTTCGCATTCATCAATAAATTTCCTAAGTTTCCACTTTAAAAAGATACCTTAGCTTTACAACACACTGATCCATTGAGAACTTAGCTTTACCACATAAGTATAATGAAAGAATAGATGAGATTGGTCTACTACAGCTGAAAGGCAAAGACTGCAAGCTGATTGTTTTAATATTAAGTCTTTTTTTAACTTCACAAGCCAAGTCACTATATTGATTTTTCTTGGGCTCATTGACTTAACAAAACTTCTTCTTTTGTTTTTTTTATATTAAACTTACTAACTCTTGTTATTTAAGCCAATTGGAGAATATATTATCCTCACCTTTGGTTTGACTGTGAATATTTTTTAGAATTTTTACTTTGAATATTTTTTAGATTTTTTTTTTTTTATTCAAATATTCCCATAGATAAATACAAAATGTAACTGCACAAATATATTTTCTTTGTGGTTTGATTGAAAATGGAGAACTATCTCAGGTAAAAGCTTTTTCTTTGTTGAACTATTCTATCTTAATCTTTATGGAATTATTCAATTTTAATCTTCAGGGCATTTGAGCTATAAATTTGAAATTTTGTCAGACTCAATAATATGCAAGGGCTTAAAGGTGATTGGTTAATTGTCATGTTTTGATTATCTAAATGTGATATTAGCTTTCACCATTGTTTTAGAAATACTCAATTTTAGCATCTGTTGAATTTGTCCAGATTTCTATGGATGTTGAACACGCAAAATGCAGTATTTGCTTAAACATTTGGCATGATGTTGTCACAGCTGCTCCTTGCTTTCACAACTTTTGGTAGGGATATTTATTTGTTTCTAGCTGGTTATTCACCTTTTAAGTTAGGTGTTTTCATTGAATTGTAATTGGTCTACAGCAATGGATGCTTCTCGGAGTGGTTAAAAAGATCCCAAGAGAAGCGTACAAGTGTACTTTGTCCCCAGTGTAGAGCAGTTGTGCAGTTTGTTGGAAGAAACCACTTCTTGCTGAACATTGCAGAGGTAATATCGTACCAAAGCATCTAAGTGAAGAAAAATGTTATTTGGTTTGCAGGATTTTGTCATAGCAGTATATATGTCTTGTAACACATTTTTTTGTTGTATGAATTTTATGGGGATTAGTTTTTGTTTTTTGGGTTCATTAAAGGGTTGTATGAATTTTATGTAGTTGTTAAACAGAAACTTCAGGTTTTAGGAAAAAACTGTAGTAAAGTTTAAAAGGGGAAAGCTTTAGAACTCACTACAGCACTTTAGATATCCACCAAGGGTTTTGGACTTAAATCTACATGAAATATCTTTAAGGGTACTTTTGTGTTTGGAGAGGAGTAAGGAGAAGACTTATCATAGAGACGTATTCTCTTTTTTTTTTTTTTTTTTGCCCCTTGAATGAAGGGCTTATTTCTGAAATCTCAACATTATTCTTTTCTCCTGGGGCAAATTTTTTTTTATTATTTATTATTTAATTTTATTGTCAAACAAAGGAAACAGTTCTGCATGTTGTGATGAAGAAAATTTTCGCAAGTGAAAAATCTCAATTCCCCTCAATGGAGAATGGCATAAAAGATTAAAAAATTCCAGTTTTAGTTAATTACGATTGGGGAGAGGATTTACGAAATTGCATTTGAAATTGAACACCAAAGTAGAGCAAGTATATATAGTAAGACTGCAACCTTTCTTTTACCGTCTATAAAGAGTGGATTTGCTAATTTTGGCTCAAGCATCGGTGTCAAACATGCACACACATGGCTAATTAGCATGTCAAAGTTTTATATAATTATTTTTAATTATGACACATGCACAGAAATGTCATGACGCACTTATAACACGTATCAAACATGTGAATTAGTACAGTAGTGTACATGTGTTAGACATTATTTGTACAAAGTGATTATGAGCCCAACATTTGTTAGAAGTCATATTAAACACTTATTAAGCATAATAAATAAAAACACAAGTGGTAATATAGGACAAACCTATTAAATTTTGAGAGTGATACTTCAAACTCAATTTTAGGCATATCAATGTATAAACTCATTGACATATGAAGGTTCTTGTATAAAAATGATATATATTATAGTAAATGTATCCTTATCCTAAATGTTTTTAAAAAATGATGTGTGACCTAGTCCATGTTGTGTTCATCTGTCTCGTTGTGTCTCGTGTCTGTATCTCGTTGTGTCTCGTGTCTGTATCTATGCTTCTTAGCAGTCTGCTGCCTAGCATCCCAGGGAAAGGAACTCTTTAAGCTATTTCTGCCAAACCATTTTTCTTCCCAGATGGAACATTCATCCCCCAACTTTTTTCAGAAGGGAAGAATATATCTCATCTGCATTCTAATTTTCCCAACAACTCTTATTATTGTTTCCCATAATTTGTTTGATACTCAACCTGTACTCATCCTCATTAGCTTTAAATTTTTTGTTAAGTATATGTGAGGGTACTAATAGGGGATATGTTGGGAATACTAGTAGGATATTAGTAAGAACATAGTGATAATTAGCTAGGGGTGACTTGGTTATAAATGTAGAGAGCTTGGGATCTTAGAAGAGGGGGAATTATTTTGGGGAGGTTACAATACAGTTATTTTGTTGTATCTTGTAACCGAGATCCTAACAGGATAAATATGGTTGATTTCCTAATTCCCCTGCATCAATTCAGCAATTCTATAAACTTTAATCCCTGTTATACTATTTTTTTTTTTCTTATTCTTTTCAGTTCTATCTCATAACTGATTGACTGCTTGTTTTGTCTAGACTATATTGCAAGAGGACTCTTCCCTTAGACGTTCAGTTGAAGAAATTGCTATTTTGGATTCTTGTTCATTAATACAATCAAATCTGGTAAGTAATCTTATTTTTTATCAGCTATTTTGGATTCTTGTTCATTAATACAATCAATCTGGTAAGTAATCTTATTTTTTATCATACTTATGTATTGATGTTATGACAACGATAGGAATGTCAATTTCTAAATTTTTACTATTGATAAGGGAAATCTCCAACTGTAGCAAAAGAGAACTATTTTTTATGGAATGGCAGGGATGTGAATATCAGTGTAAAAATATTTTTTTACCTTATTTCCTGGGGGAGGATGTGATTGTCAACATTTTAAGCAAGGTCAAAGGTTTTATGCTTTTCGTGAATTATAAGTAATATATATGCCTCTTATAGAATTTACTCAAGGGCTGGAATTGTTGCACTTTGGGGAATAGTTAGAATGGTAATTTCAATTTGCTGTATATTCTTTAAAAACATAGATTCTTCATTTTCTTTGTGGTCCGGTTCTTCCGATAAAATTGAAGTTATTGTTGGATATTGCTTCCAAAGCCAAGTCACCTTTATATAATCATTTTTAAAACAAATTTTACTTACAATTACAGCAAGGAGATGATTAAAATCCAATGCACTAAAACTTATTCAACAATGTGGTTCAAAATGTATTAATTTTTGTAAATTTGGACTTTAAAAGTTTTATGCTCTGGTTTTTTGTAATAAGAAACAAGGAGTGTACTTCAAAATAGAATCATTGTACTAAAAAGGTGGAGAGGAATCACATCTCGAGAGGTAAAGGGTAAGGTCTTAGAGGCTTACTAGTGTATAGAGACAAGTTGCCTTATCTCTTTTCAAGTTTGCTGACAACACCGCTTTAACGACACTCTTTTTCTACCTAGGGAAGGAGGAGTCTTATTAATCTAAACTGCATTATGTTTGTTTTAGACTTTTTCAAGGTTGAAGATTAATGGGGTAAATGTTTGTTGTGGGGGTTTACTGTGATCCTTCTAAATTAAGTAGGTAGGCTTCTTTGGTGGGTCGTGGGGTCTGGACCTTTCCATCAACTGAATGGGTCTTCCTCTTGGCCACAATCCTACACTTGGTATGTTTTGGGATCCTGTAGTGGAGAAAGGTCACAAGCATCTCTCCTATTGGAAAAAAGAGTTTTTTTCAAAGAAAGGTAGACTTACCCTAATTCAGCCAGTTACGAGGGATCTCAATGTTCTCGTTATTTAGGATTAAGGTGCCGATATGTAAATCCTTAGAGGAGTATGAGGGACTTCTTGTGGGAAGGGTTAATGAAGGAAAAGGGTCTCACCTAGTGAACTAGTGTGTTGTGAATAAGTTGATGGTGCTCAAGGGGCTAGACATAGCTAATCTTAGCATGCGAAATGAAGCCTTTTTGGCTACATGGCTGTGACACTTTCCCAGGAGTCTAGCTTCCATTGGCAAAAGATTATTGTTAATAAATATGGTCTTCACCCTTTTGAGTCAATCTTGAGTGCAGTTCTAAAAGGCACTTCCAGATTGATTATGAGAAAGTTGCCTTGCTTGATAGGACTGCGATATTTGTATCTGTTGTAAGGGAGCAACTATGGACCTCAAACATCTTTTGTGGTCTTGTGATTGAATGTGGGCAGTCTGGACTTGTTTCCTCCAGTCCTTTGGTCTCAACTTGGTCCGACCTAGCGAGGAATTTTTGCTTCATTCATCCTTTAGCAAAAAGGGCCACTTTTGTGGCTCTCCGACATTTGTGCTTTGTTATGTGGTCTTTGGGACATTTGTGCTTTGTTATGTGGTCTTTGGGGTGAGAGGATCAATAGCGTTTTTAGAGGAGTAGGGAGGTCCTAAGAAGAAGTTTGGTCCCTTGCTAGGTTCCATACCTCCCTTTCGGGCTTGGTGTGTAATGACTTTTGTAATTCCCCTTTAAATACTATCATCCTTGATTGGAGCCCTTTTCTTTATTTCGACTCCTTTTGGGTTTGTTTTTTTGTATGCCCCTCGTATTCTTTTTTTTTATTATTTATTTTTTTCTTGATGAAAGTATGGTTTCTCTTACCAAAAGAAAAAAGGAAAAAAAAAAAAAAAAAAAACCCCTTTCTTAAAAATCTTTACAAAGTGAAGTTTCTTAAAACATTCTAGGCTTTTTTACATAGTTTTTCCCTACAAGATATATGTTTAAATGGGGACGCTCCTATATTTCCATAGTCTTTTTTGCAAAATAAAGAACTGAAAGATGTTTTCAGTTAAAATCTTCTTAGTGTATTTATCATCATATGAAATTATTTCTATTTTCTTTTTCCTTTTGTTTAGTTGTAATGATTTTCCCTTACAACCTTGAGGTGAAAATATTTCTCGATAAAAATCCCCAACTTCAGAACTTACTGTCTTGACTCTTCAAAATTTTATTGCTTAATTATGATTATTTTTCATTTTATGTAGCTTGCTCTTTGATTTTTTTGGTCTCGTTGTGCTTTTACTCCTTTTCTGCCCTAGTAGAAAATTGGAGGATTTGGGATGTTTATGCTCCTGATTTAAGATGGAAGAGCAAAGATTTAAAAAAAGAAACCATTATGCCCTTTCCTACAAACTTTTCATTGATAGTAGGTGAAAACTACGTATCATAGATAGTCTAAAAGAGAGAAAATTCAGGAACCACCAAATTATTGATATTTTCCCCCTTAAAGAGAACTGCCAATAACTGATTTTGGACAGGATGGATAGTTCTGGAAAGAGGTTTTGGAATAAAGATGCACCATTCCAAGAATATTCTTAAAGGGGAAGAAGTTGTAGACCATTTCTTGAAAATTTCCATACAACAAGAGAATATGAACTATTCATACAATTTAGAATCCCAACCTTTTGTTACAGACACGTTTTCTTTTAATACAATATACTAAAATGGGAAGATTACAGGAAAATCAACATAACTTGACTAGTTAACCAAAACAGCGGGTTCTGGAGGACCAAATGAAGTCCATGGAAAATTCCAGCCATGTATCATATTAGTTATCACAGAAACAAAAGGATAAAGAGGGGCCCTTTTGGTAATTGATGTGGGAGTTCAGAAAGTTAAGGATCTCTCGACCTAACTTAGGTTCTCTAAGCTGTTAATAAAATAATATGGAATGCTGCCCCAATTTATTTAAATCATCTCTAAGCTGTTGAGGGGAAGCCCAGATAGGAATGCCTAAAGAGGACAATATCTGCTAGTGGCGGGCTTGGGCCGTTAATCTTCTACAGTAGGTTCTTTTTAAATTTGGCTTCGGAAGATCCAGATAGTTTCCTCTCTAGCCCTTTGCTTTTGGTTTGTGGTGTAAATTTCTTCAAGATGTCAGTGTCAGCATCTCCCTCTTTTCGTTGGAGATAGGTTACTTTAATCCAAAATCCTCATAACTCTTTTGGATACGTGGTCAGAGTAATTGGGGTAATTTTGAGATTAAAATTTAGATGAAGCTGATATTTAGGTACTGTATTTTAATGCTTTTCTTTGTATGTGGAAATTTTATTTTTGCAATGTTCCCCTTTTTTATTTGTCAGTTACTGTGGGTATACTTGTAGAACTTCCTACAGGTCTTTTTGATGGTTATTGTGCCATTTTGTTTTTATTTTTTCTTCTACTTTTTCCCTCAATCTCTTTGTACTTTCATCATTCTTACTTTATGATGAAAATTCGTATTGGTTTTTGATTTTCTCTGAGATGTTTAAGCTACAATCTTACCTCGTTGAGCATCAATCTTTTGTGCAGTTTACTTATTTTCAATCGTGTTGAGTATGCTTGTAATTCTTCTAGGTCATTGGGTCTGGGAAGAAGCGCACCCAGAAAAGGCCTCATTCAGTACTGGGCCAGGAGGAGAGCGGCGTTTTAGAGCTTCCATGCCCTCAATGTGGTAAATATTTGCTTTCAGTTGGAAAATCATCTTCCAACGCCTTTTTGTTCATTCTCATCATTAGTGACTTTTCTATAATACTTTGCTGGTTGAATTATCACTAACCCCACCAGCTTAAATGGATATGTTGAGTGTATATATATTTTTTTTTTTATATATATATTATTAACATTTTTCCTCACTTGTGAGCTAGAAAAATAATTTAACTCACGAAATTCATAAGTGAATTATTAATATCAATTGGGAAGAAAACATTACAAGATTTGAACGCATTATCTTCTCAAAGAAAAATAAATGTACTTGGCTTCTTCTACCGTGCAATAAGTTTTAATAATTTCTAATTTATTCCTTTTCTGGAGTTCATAGATTTCCATTCATTGTATATCTAGAGTTTTCTACCATTCTGTTACATTGTATATTAATCTGAAAAGTCGATTTACATTTTCCAGGTACTGAATATGCTGGATTTCGCTGTAATCCAAACACGGTTCATCTACAATGTCATGGATGTGGAGGAATGATGCCTTCTCGATTTGATATTGGGATACCTCAACATTGTATGTTTGCATTTTCCCTTTATATTCTCTCTGGTACATATTGATTTGTCATTGGTGTAACTTAAGGCTGCTTACATTTATGGTAAGAGAGGGTTATTTTAGATTGGTGCATCCAACATTACTCAAGACATTCATCATATCTATCTATCATTAGCGCATAGAGATTGCAGTATGATGTAAAGAATCACTTGGGTTGTCTTTTGTCTGGGTAAATAGAAATCAACAGACTCATTATTCTTTGTTGATGAAATTTGTTCATATGGTACGAAGTCAGAGATTATATTAACCTTATATATGAGTGTAATGGTGATTAGTCTAATACAACGTTTCTATCTTTATTATTTTTATTTTAAATGTACAAGTTTGTGGATAATGGTAAGGAGACATGTAAAGAGGGGGAATTATTTAAAATTCAAATGCGGATGGGGCATCCTAGGATGTTTCATAGTATAAGATTGTGAGATCCCACATAAGTTGGAGTGCTTCCTTACAAGGGTGTGGAAACCTTCCCCTAGCAGACGCGTTTTAAAAACCTTGAGGGGAACTCAAAAGGGAATACCCAAAGAGGACAATATCTGCTAGTGGTGGGCTGTTACAAATGGTATCAGAGCCAGACACCAGGCGGTATGACAGCGAGAACGTTGGGTCCCCAAGAAGGTGGATTGTGTGATCCCACATTGGTTGGAGTGCTTCCTTATAAGGGTGTGGAAGTCTCCCCATAGTAGACGCGTTTTAAAAACCTTGAGGGGAAACCCGGTAGGAAAAACCTAAAGCAGACAATATCAGCTAGCGGTGGGGTTGGGCTGTTACCAGCTTAGGTATTTATATCTTTTTTTCATGTTCCAGTAGTTGGATGCCCATGAGAAGAACATCGTGAATTCAACATGATCAAACAAATCTTGTTGAGATTAATAATCACTTCCAAAAAAAAAAACTGCACCATGGAGGTCAACGTTTGTTGCTGAATGTTTCATCCAATTATGAACTAGTAGATTTCTCTACCTTATGTTTTACTGAGATTAAGTTTCCAATGAAATTTGAACAAAACAAGGATTCAGAATTAAAAATGATATCTATGCAGAATTAACGTCTTCCATCTCCATTTTATATAGTTTTAAGCTTTTGTGTACATTGCAGTATTGGAGTTAAGGATAGTATATTCTAGCCCAAACTTAAAATGTCCTTTTCAGGTTTAGGATGTGATAGAGCATTTTGTGGTGCATACTGGCAAGCTCAGAGGTTACAAAGAAGTGGTACTTACGCCACGTGCAATCCCGAGACTCTAAAACCGGTATGTGCTGTTATTGTTTGGTTTCTTTGATTTCTTTTTCTTGTTTTGGAAGGAATCTGTCAAAGCTTGTTACCCCTTGTTGTTCTTACATTATTGGGCAAGCTAAATGATTTTGTTTCTATTTTACTTTGTAATTATATAGACATAAGCTCACATAAAACTGGAGAGTTGGAAGGTTCTCTTATGCTTAAATGTGTTCTGCATTGCAGATCTCCAGTCGTACCGTCTCAAGAATTCCACAGTTGACGCATGAAAATAATCAACACGAACAGGATGTATAGATTTGCATCTACTTATTCATTAAGCAGCTTTTCCAGTTTTGTTAATAAATAGTTGATATGATTCACATTTTGGTTCTTAGATAACAGAGAGGTGCATTAGTCAGATGGGTACAACATTGCAGGATGTCATCTCTGAATGGATTGTGAAGTTAAACAATAGAGAAATTGGTAGGTTTTTTCCAACTTTCTTGTTATTTTTTTATTATTAGAAACTAAGAATGCTCTTATTATAGAAAATTATAAAAGGGAGAAAAAATATATAATGCTACTGACAGAAAGTTCCTAGGGATGATACCTTAAAACGTAAAAAAACAAGACTAAAGAGAAATTGTGGGAGACTGTGCAATGATATTCATCATAAAGTAATGGAAAACTTGTAGAAGAAATTGTTATCCCATTGGCATGCCCCGTGTGAGTGCACGAGTGGTCGAAATTATATTACGTATGTGAATATAGCGGCTTATTAGTCTTTCGTCCTTTATTGAAATTTTACTATTCTTAGTCGAGGACTTTCATGTATACCTATATATATTAAACTCAAGCATATAGACAGACATGGGTTCTTCCATATTTTGGTATCACGTTAATAGAAATGTCCCTCATATAGTAATCTTAAATTGCAAATCAGATCGAACTCGAATGCCTCTAAACCACGTGGAGATGATAACTGCAGAGACGCATATGTGCAAGTAAGTCTTCATATTTCGTTCTTATTTTTCCACTTGAATTCATGCAAAGAAATTGATGTCTTTTTCCACAGAAAGTATTGTATTTACTAGTTTATCTCTGCTTGAGGATACAGATCACATCCCTTTTGTTTCGCTCGTTTGTTCTGTTTAATTCTTGTACATGGATGCAAAGGGTCAAGTGCAATATGTGCATCATCATCTTTCATCTATCATCTTTCTTGTATTTTCCCTTTCGGGCTTCCCCTCAAGATTTTAAAACGCGTCTACTAGGGAGAGGTTTCTACACCATTATAAAGAATGTTTAATTCCCCTCTCCAACTGATGTGGGATCTCACAATCCACCCCCTTGAGGCCCTGCGACTTCATTGGTACACCGCCCGGTGTCTACTCTGATACCATTTATAATAGTCCAAGCCCACTACTAGCAGATATTGTTTTCTTTGAGCTTTCTCTTTCAGACTTCCCCTCAAGATTTTTAAAATGCGTTTATTAGGGAGAGGTTTTCACACCCTTGTAAAGAATGTTTTATTCCTCTCTCCAACCGACGTGGGATCTCACTAGAATGGCCTTATGAATTAGTCAGATTAATTAGTCAGGTTATTAAGCTATAGTTTGCTAAAAAAAATCGTCTTCATTTCAAATGTGTATCTTGTCTCGTACCATTTCAGTTTAAAGCTGTTTTGGCATCCATTTTGACATGTAATACGTTCTGACAACTTGGAATGCCTTTTTGTCTCAATGAAGTGAGTGTTATGACAAATTGGTGGGATTTCTACTCTACTGGTTTCGCATTTCAACGCCAAAATATGTGAGTACTTTTACCTGGGAATTTCAATTCTCCTTGCTTCTCCTTTCTAAATCCTCCGTGAAATGTGGCAGCTTCTTCCAGGAGATGCAACTGAAAGGGAAAATTGTTGGTATGGACATGCATGTCGGACTCAACACCACAACGAAGATCACGCTCGCAAGCGAAACCATGTTTGTCGTCCCACCCGATCCCGATGATAATAACGATTTCTATATCTGCTTCACTTTTTCTTTCCCTTTTAACTATATTTTTCTCTAGTCTTCAGTCATGTGATCTTTGAATTACAAGCATATTATTGTGCCCTTAATTGGTTGCAAATATGCTCTTTGTATGTGTATATTATTACATTCTCAACAAATCATGTAAACTTTATTATCAAAGTTATGCCTTTGGGCCTAACTTTGTTTGATGTTCACTCGAAAGAAATGGCTGCATACATCCTCTCCTTGTAGAAAATTGATTGCTCATATAACGTTTTCTTGGCCTGCAGATAGATTCCTTGCTATTCCCTGTTTTGTTCACTTGCAGGCTTTGCCATTGCATGCTTTCGGCGTACTTGCCTTGTAAGAAAGCAACGGCTCAACAATTTTATACATGAAAAGTGATGAAACAGAGGTCAAAAAGGTGAAATTTTGTGCCAACGACTTCTATGCCATATTCTGGCTTTTGAACTGTGATGTATGATGATTGTTAATACTAATCTTGATTCTCGAAGAATTGATTGATTTTTTTTTTTTTTTTTTGGCGCATTATGATTGACCTGCAGATCAGGGCATTCTTCCAAATCCGAGTTTGTGATGGAACAAATCTCAGACGTAGTCTCCAATAATCGGTAGATAACCTAAATATTTTGTTTCCCTCCGGTCTAACTTGGGAATACTTCTTACGGTTGGTTATATATTTTTACAACGTCAACCAAGTAGTAGTTCAAGGCATGCATGTAGGGGCAGGTAGTAAAGGTAAATGCATTAGTAAGGGATAGGCCTTCAATTTAACTCACGAACACAATACAAATTGTTGTTTTATACAATATTTACACTCAACAAAATACCTAAAGTTGCGTCAAAGATGTCTAGTCTTAACATAACCGTCTAAGTCTTCTGCTAGCAGATATGGTTCTCTTTAGTTTTTCCTTTTGGCTTCTTCTCAAGGTTTTTAAAATATGATTGCTAGGGAGATGTTTGCACTCATAAAAAAATGTTTTGTTCGTTCTCCTTCCTAACTGATGTGGAATGTCACAATGCATTTTCCTTTGGGGTTTGGTTTTCTTGCTAACACATCGTGGTATTTTGAATAGTTTAAATATAATGTGTTTTTTTTATAATTATTGTTGGTTAGAAGGAGAGGAGATAATAATAATGAAATGTAAACCCAAATATTTACAGGTCAGATATTGAAGTCAGCCAACTCGCATCCCACTGTCATGTACTTTAACTGAAAAATCTAATAATAAAATTTAAAAAAATAAATAAATTGGGAAGGGGAATGAACGGTGAGGATTTGGTCAACCCAACGGACGGTGAGATGAGAGTGTTTATGAACGTTGGGGTTGGAGGCGGTAATGATGGTGAAGCCTAATGCGCATGGAAATCGCTACTGATTCCACTTTTTTTTTTTCTTTTTTTTTTCTTTTTTTATTTTTATCTTTCTCATTATTATTTTTAGGTCCCCTTACTTTCTTTTTCCTTTCATTATTATTTATTTTTTTCGATCCCCTCTAAAAAAAATTTCAATAATAATTTAAACTTTTTTAAAATATTTAAAATTAAATTTCCAAATGTTTTACTAATACTCTTAAAGGATGATGCATACAAAACTTTCATGTTATCATTCTCGGAGCCTCGAGAGTCATAAGATTTACCTTCCTTGAAGTACAACATATCAAATAAAAACATACATAATATATCATTATGTATAATTGGAGAACGAGACAGAGAGGAAGGAGACATAGATTCCATCAAGGACAACTCGAAAGTTCAGTGTCCCATTGTGATAATTTCTGTATCAATTTTATTTATTAAAATATCAAATAGAAAATTAAATTTTATATTTGGTAAACATATTTAGCATTTTTAAAGTATAAATTTAAAAGTTTTAAAACATATTAAATATTTTCTAAAAAAAATTGGAAGAAAAATATGAATTTAAACAACAAAAACAAAAAAATATAATAAATGTATAGATTAATGAGGGAATGTTGGGTCCATATCCAGATAGATAAGAAAATAAAATAAAATAAAATAAAATAAAATAAAAAGTTTTGTAAAGGGAAATGCCGTGCCGGCAGATTCGGCGAAGATTTCTGTAAAACGGCACCGCGCCATTATTCCTAAACACTGTGGACTCCTCCAATTGACAGCCTAATATAATATTAAATTAAATTAATTTCCTCCTTAACTGGGCCCCACACTTAATATCCTAGTCACATATTTTTTTATTATTTATTTTCTAATGGTTTTAGGAATAATTTTTTAAAACATATATTCAAATAAAAAATAGATAAAATAAACCATTGACCAGATGAAACCAAATCAAATTTACCATCCAAACAATTGAGTTAATTTAACCCACGAACACCCCATAGAATCTACTAGACATAAAATTTAAAATATTTACGTCATAGTCTATTAATTCTACCTGTCTATATGAGTTTGACACCGACATTTTTATTGTGTTATAAAAAAATCTAAGAAAAATACAAAATAAGCAACCAATAAGGATAAATGTCACGAATGTGGACATGTTAGACCTTCGTTACCATACAATACAACTCAAAAGATATTACCGTTACATATTATCTTTTAATATATTAGTTTATCAAATTGTCATTGACATTTAATTAAAATGTAATTTTTCTTATTATTTTTTTTATAAATTAATTAAAATTTTATATTCTAATTACAAATTTAATCCATAATTTTTTTTTTTGAAAAAATCAATGGCTTTAATACGACTAGGGAATTCGACCAACTTGAACTATCCAATCCAACGAAAACCTAACCTAACTGGGTTTGGCTAGATTTTTTCGTCTTGGTTCGTGGGTTTGACATTTTTTCGGACTAACTCGAGAATAGATTTACAACATAACCCTGTTTTTTAAATTATTATGAAAATTAAGAATATTTGAGTTTTATGAGATTTTAGTTATCAATATAATATGCATCGCGGAAAAGTAGTATTTCTCAAATAATTAAAAAAGAATAATAATAACCCAGCAACCCGACTATAACAACTAAGCCTACCGCTAACAAATATTGTTCATCTCGTCAGATTCAAAGTTTTAAAACATGTATGTCAGAGAGAGACTTACCCACTCTTATTATGACTAATAATTCGTTCTCCTCTCCAACCGATGTGAGATCGCACACCGACAATCCGTTGTAAAAATATGTAATAAGTCTCTAGATATTTTTAGTTTTGAAATAAATAAAGAGCCGTTTAAATAATTTCTCGCTCGCTTTTTGGTTAACCCCACAAACGACTTTTGGTCACGCCCCCACGACCCACACGCCTTCTCCTTTTTTATTTTTTATTTTTTATTTTTATTTTTATTTTCTTTTAATGATGAATATTACACGTCACAGCACCAAACGGTCTGAACCCGCTCCTTTAAAACGGCGTCTCTCACTCCCACGATCTCCGCCATTACCACCGCCATTTCCATTTCTTCTTCTCTCTGTCAACCCTAAACCCCGTATTCAACTTTCTCCACTCCCCCACAACCATGACTGACCAAGAAGTCGTTATCACGGATGTTCCCCTTGCTGAGAAGCCCAATAAGGACCTTCCTCCGCTGCCGGAGCCCGCCGCGAAGGAGCCATTGAAGGCGGAAGGAGAGGTTCCTGATGCGGCGGCGGAGACTGAAGTGTTGAAACCTGCCGGTGATGAGAAAGTCGTGGCGGATGCTGATTCCTTCAAGGAGGAGAGCACTAAACTCGCTGATCTTTCTGATTCAGAGAAGAAAGCTTTGGAAGAGTTTAAGCAGCTTATTCAGGAAGCGCTTAATAAGCACGAATTCACTGCTCAGCCTACGCCTCCGCCTCCGTCGTCATTGCCGGTTAAGGTTGAGGAATCTCCGTCGGAGGCCGTGGTGGAGAAGACAGATGAAACCGTCGATGATGCGCAGAAGCGCTCCGATGAAGAACAAGAGCCGCCGAAAGCCGAAGCTAAAATCGCCGAAGCAAATGAAGGTGAAGCAGAGAAAGAAGAGAAATCAAAAGAAACAACGCCTCCTGCCGCGGAGGAAGTTGTGGTTGCAGTGCAAACCGAATCACTTGTGGATGAAGACGGAGCAAAAACAGTCGAAGCAATCGAAGAGACGATTGTCGCCGTCGCCGCCTCCGCCGCAGCACCATCTGAAGAAGCCGTAGACACAACGGCCAACCCTCCCCCGACTGCCGTGGCGCCGGAGGAGGTATCAATCTGGGGAATACCGCTAATGGCGGACGAGAGAACCGATGTTGTACTACTGAAATTCCTCCGAGCGAGGGATTTCAAAGTGAAAGAATCATTCGCGATGATCAAGAACACGATCCAATGGAGAAAGGATTTCAAAATCGACGAACTGTTGGAGGAAGATTTAGGGAGCGATCTGGAGAAAGTAGCGTTCATGCACGGATCGGACAAAGAAGGGCATCCAGTCTGTTACAACGTGTACGGAGAATTTCAGAACAGAGAGCTTTACCAGAAAACATTTTCCGACGAGGAGAAACGGGAGAAATTTCTCCGTTGGAGGATTCAGTTTCTGGAGAAAGGCATCCGGAAAATGGATTTCAATCCCGGTGGAATTAGCACCATGGTTCATGTAAACGACCTGAAGAACTCTCCAGGGCTGGGGAAATGGGAGCTGAGACAGGCAACCAAACATGCCCTTCAGATCTTCCAAGATAACTACCCAGAATTCGTTGCCAAACAGGTCTTTCATTGAACTATAATTGTCGATGTTATGATTAATTAATGATCTGTTTCTGATTTTGGATTTGGTTTTGAATTTGGGTAGGTGTTCATCAATGTCCCCTGGTGGTATTTGGCTGTGAATAGAATGATGAGCCCATTTCTGACTCATAGAACTAAGAGCAAGTTTGTGTTTGCTGGACCTTCCAAATCTGCAGAGACCCTTCTGAGGTACGTTCTTATTTGGATTAAAGCTAGAGATATATTGTTCTTGAATTCTGTGTTCTCATATTGGAATCAGCGATTTGTGGTAATTTAGGGTGGAAATTAATTGGAAATTTTGGATAAACACGCTACCACCAGGTACATAACAGCGCAAGAGCTGCCAGTGAAGTATGGAGGAATGAGCAAAGATGGGGAATTCGAGACATGTGATAGCGTCACTGAAATCACAGTGAAACCTTCAGCCAAACACACGGTCGAATATCCTGTCACTCAGGTTCCTATTTCTTCTCTCCTTCTTTTTCCTTAAATTTTTTAGAAATATAGAAATGAAAACCAAAGATGGTGATGAAATTGCGTTGGAAGATGTGCATTTCATTGGATTCTCTGGACAGGACAGTCCAAAATGACCCATTATGTCTGTCTCTCTGTCTCTCTCACTCCCTGTTTCTTTATTTTAAAGCGTCTTTGAAATTCTCTGTTCCTCCTCTGTTTTTGACTGTCTATGCCTTCTCATGATACCCTTTTCCACTTTGGATCCTTTTACTTCCCAAATTTCACGTTCTTTTGCCATTTCCTTTTCTCTTAGGTCTAATTTTATAACCCATCTTGTCATATTATTAAGAAAAACTTTCCAATTTCATTAGCTAATTGATTTTGAAATTTAGATGATAATTAGGTAAGTTTGAGAGACATAACACAACACTTTGATGGGTTTGAGGTGAAATGGGAGTTGATATTGATGTCGATGTTGATGTGGATGTGGGAGGTTCGAGTGGTACTTTTGTGTCGTTCATTAGTCTAAAGTATTTCAATTATGTGCTAGTTGATTCTAAAACATTTAAGGTGAAATGATGAGAGTTGATATTGATGTCGATGTTGATATCGTTGATGTGGTTGTGTATTCATGTGGGTTCGTGTTAGTTTTGAGATTATTTGCTAATTAATTCTAAAACATCTCTTTAATCATCTTATGTAAATGTACACAGCATAATTAAAATTTTGATGATGGATTTGAGGTAAAATGATGAGAGTTGATGTTGATGTTGATGTTGATACCGTTGATGTAGGCATGTGTTGTGACGTGGGAGGTTCGAGTGGTCGGATGGGATGTGAGCTACGGGGCAGAGTACGTACCGAGCGGGGAGGGAAGCTACACGGTGATAATCGACAAGGCAAGAAAAGTGGCATCGTCGTCACAAGACCATCCTGTTCTTACAAACACATTCAAGATCTCTGAGGCTGGTAAGGTGGTTCTGTCCATTGACAATCCGACCAACAAGAAGAAGAAACTCCTCTACCGCTTCAAGACCAAATCTCTATGAACCCTAAATCCATTTTCTTTATATATATTTTCCCCACAAAAAAAAAAAAAAGAAAAAAAAAACATAAAATTTTGAATTCCTTGTTGTGAGATGTTTTTTTCTTTCCTTTTCTAAGCTCATGGGTGTAGTGTAATCTAATCACTGTTCATGTTTTTTTTCCCCTTGTGTTTTTATTTATTTAATTTATTTATTTTTCTTTTATTCTCTCTCTCTCAAAGCTCTTGCTGTGTGATTAATTTTTTTTATTTAAACTTATAAATTAAATTAACTTAGTGATATTGTACCCGTCCTCGCCTTCATTCTCACAAGGTTTCCACACCCTTTTAATAAATATTTTGATCTCCTCTCTGATCGATATCGGGATCACATCCTGCTCCTCTTAGGGGCCACGTTCTCATTGGCCCAATACCCGATGTTTGATTTTAATATCATTTGTAAAACCTCAAACCCACTGCCAGTAGATATTGTCTGCTTTGACCCATTACGTCTCATCATTATTTTCATAACTTTCAAAAATCGTCGTAAATGTTTTGAAGAGACAAAACATTGTAAATAGAGAATACAATAAACGGCTTCATATTCGAGGACCTTTGGTTTCAAATATATAATATTTAAATACAAAAGTTATTTACCTCTTCTTTTGTAGCCTTTTTAGGTTTCAAATCCCGACACCAAGTTTTATCGTTTAAAAAAGTTTCTTGACTCTTGTTGATGGAACTGTCAAAGAGGAAGAAAGATTAATTTCCCTCTATTCCATTCCGTTCTTGTGAGTTATTCTCATGAAGTGATTGTGAACAATCAGTCAAGACTCAAGAGAAAACCTGCCCCTGAACCGATATTACCTGACGGATTGAACTCAAACACTCGGTAAATAGGCTGGCTGGCTTGGCTTGGCTTGGCTTCTCTCCTTTTCTTTTCTGATATTCCCTTCTCTTATTTCACGAGGTAAATAGGTGAAGTAGCTCTTTGATTGAATTTGATTCTGCAAGATTTTGAAAATGAGAAAGAAAGAAAGAAAAGTAGGGTAGGGTTGTGTTGTACTATAACCTTATTTTCGGGTTTGTAAGGTTGATCTGACAAAAACAATGTCAACCCACAAGTTGAACTGCAACTCAACTCAAACCGAAAAAATAAATCTAATCCAACCCAACTTGTGAGATTCCACATCGATTCGAGAGGGAAACAAAACATTTGTTATAAATATATTTAAACCTCTGCTTAGCAAATGCGTTTTAAAATCATGAGGGTGGTGACAACGACATGTAACAGGTCAAAACAGATAATATTTGTTAGCGGTGTACTTGAAGTGTTATAAATGGTATCAGAGTCAGTCACCAGAAAGTGTGACGCAGTGGTCGAAGTAGGACTAGACCCTCTCCATAAATTGTGTTTGGTTGAAATAAATGCAAACTTTATGCATTATATTGATTCATGAGTTGTTTTAAAATTAAGTTTTTTAAGTGCTATTCGAGCATCCAGCATCCACAGCATTCCCTTAGCTGTGCGTTCTTTCAAAATTTCCGGCAATGGCTATCACAAATCAGTTGGCCTTTCAGCTCTCCATTTCCTCAACCAGAACATTCATCTTCCGCCGCTTCTCCGCCGCTCAAAATCCCCTTCCATCCATCTCCTCTGCTATACCCTTCAAACCAGCACCGAAGAATTCCAAATCCGACAACCGTGCGACAGCTACTGTTCCAACCCCAATGCAATTCAACGCAAGTGAGTTCTCCAATTTTCTCACTACCGTTTTGTTTTCTGTTCACCTCTTGCCCTTTCTTTCACGATAATTGGGGCTTCTGAATTCGTATCCGTTTGTTTTTAATCTTTGAAACCCTATGAAATGTATCCACCGTCACTCACGAACTTTTCTTACACTGGAAAATCATCGAATAAATGGCTAGAAACTAAGTTGTGCGTGTGTGTGGTGCTTCTTGGGCTCTTGCAGAGTTCCCAGGATTCTAATAAGAAGGTTGTGTTGAGGATTGTTGGGAGAGGAGTCATGTCGGCTAATTAAGGGATCGATCATGAGTTTATAAGTAAGGAATACATCTCCATTCGCATGAAGCCTTCTGGGAAAGCAAAAAGCAAAGCCATGAGAGCTTATGCTCAAAGTGGATAATATCCTACCATTGTGGAGAGATGTGGTTTCTAACCTGCGGTTGAGATAGAATTAGGAATACTATTTGATTAATAAGGTCGGGACGTTGTTATGGTCATTCTGATTTGTTATTAATAGTGGGTATGAAAGGATGAATGTGTGCATTGTGTTAGGAAGCACGACTCTCCACAATGGTATGATATTGTCCATTTTGAGCCTAACCTCTCTTGGCTTTGCTTTTGGTTTCTCAAAAAGGCTTCATACCAATGAAGATATATTCCTTACTTATAAACCCATGATTATCCCCTTAACTAGCCAATGTGAGACTCCCTCCCAACAATCCTCAACAATCCTCCTCTTGAACAAAGTATACCATAGAGTCTCCCTTGAGGCATATGTGGCCCTCGAACAGTCTCCTCTTAATTGAGGCTCGACTCCTTTCTCTGGAGCTCTTGAAGAAAGTATACCGTTTGTTCGACACTTGAGGATTCTATTTGACATGGTTAAGTTAAGGGCATGACTTTGATACAACGTGTTAGGAAACACGACTCTCCAGAATGATATGATATTGTTCACTTTGAGCATAAACTCTCACTGCTTTGCTTTTGGTTTCCTCAAAAGGTCTCGTACCAATGGAGATGTATTCCTTGCTTATAAACCCATGATCTTCCCTTATTAGCCAATGTGAGACTCCCTCCCAACAATTCTCAACAATCCTCCCTTCGAACAAAGTATACCATAGAGCCTCCCCTAAGGCCTATGTAGCCATCGAACAACCTCCCCTTAATTGAGGCTCGACTCCTTTCTCTAGAGCTCTCGAACAAAGTACACCCTTTGTTCGACACTTGAGTCACTTTTGACTACACCTTTGAAGCTAGCAACTTCTTTGTTTGACACTTGTGGATTCTATTGACATAGCTAAGTTAAGGGCATGACTCTGATACCATGTGTTAGGAAACACGACTCTCCATAATGGTATGATATTGTCCACTTTGAGCATAAACTCTCATGATTTTTCTTTTGGTTTCTCCAAAAGACCTCATACCAACCGAGATATATTCCTTACTTATAAACTCATAATCATCCCCTTAATTAGCTAATGTGAGACTCCCTCCCAACCATCCTCAACACATTTGGTTAGTTGGTTTAGGCCTGAGTGATACTATTCAAAATGAGGGAGGTCAAAGTACCTCGAGTACTTGGCTTATCTTGTAGTTCTTCTATCTTCTATGTTTCAATATCGTTCTAGAACTTGCTTCTCAGGTGCACGAGCGAACGATGTAGCCACAACGGAAATGGAAGAGCAAACAGAGATGGAAGTTGCAGAAGGATATACCATCTCTCAATTTTGTGATAAAATAATTGACATTTTCATGAATGAGAAGCCCAAAACTAAAGAATGGAGGAAGCTTTTGGTGTTTAGGGAAGAGTGGAAAAAGTATAGGGAGAGCTTCTACAGTCATTGCCAAAGGCGAGCAGATTGGGAGAGTGATCCAATTATGAAAGAGAAGTTACTTTCACTTGGGAGAAGGGTCAAAAGGGTATGTACTTATCCTCTTCTTCTTCCTCTACATTTGTTCTTTAAACTTTCGTGCTATGATTTTTATTCACGAAAACCATTTCCGATGACAATATACAGATCGATGATGAAATGGAGATCCACAGTGAACTTCTCAAGGAATTACAGGACAGCCCGACCGACATTAATGCGATAGTTGCAAAGCGGCGCAAAGAGTTCACAGAGGATTTTTTTAAGTTCCTTACTTTGGTTTCAGAAACCCATGACAGTTTGGAAGATCATGATGGTAATAGTTTGAATACTTTCAATGATTTATCTTAGCTTTGGCATTGGATTAAACCAAGACTCACATAAAAATTCAGTCTAGATTTGATCTCAGATTTAGTTCATGTTTATGCATCCTTATCTTTGAACCATCTTTAAAAGTATTTAGATAAACTTAATCGTGTAGTTTAGCCGGGATTATAAATTCCCGTAGTCCCACATTGGCTAATTAAGAGGAAAATCATGGGTTTATAAGTATGAAACACTGTCTCCATTAGTATGAGGTCTTTTGGAGAAGCCAAAAGCAAAATCATGAGAGCTTGTGCTCAAAGTAGACGATATCATACTATTGTGGAGGTTCGTGATTCCTAATTAGGTATCGGAGCCATGCCCTAACTTAACCATGTCAATAGAATCCTCAAATGTCGAACAAATAAGTTGTGAGCCTCAAAGGTGTAGTCAAAAGTGACTTAAGTGTTGAACAAAGGGTGTACTTTGTTCAAGGGCTCCAGAGGAGTCGAGCTGCGATTAAGGGGAGACTGTTCGAGGGCTACATAGGCTTCAGGAGAGGCTCTATGGTGTACTTTGTTTGAGGGGAGGATTATTGAAGATTATTAAGAGTAGTCCCACATTAGCTAATTAAGAGGAAGATCATGGGTTATTAAGTATGGAACACTATCTCCATTAGTATGAGGCTTTTTCGGGAAACCAAAAGCAAAGTCATGAGAGCTTATGCTCAAAGTGGACAATATCATACCATTGTGGAGGTTCGTGATTCCTAATATAGTATAAGAGTCTTGCCCTTAACTTAGCCAGTCAATAGAATCCTCAAATGTCGAATAAAGAAGTTGTGAGTTTCGAAGGTGTAGTCAAAAGTGGTCTCGAAAGTGTAATCAAAAGTGACTCAAGTGTTGAACAAAGGGTGTACTTTGTTCGAGGACTCCAGAGAAGGAGTCGAACCTCGATTAAAGGGAGGCTGTTCGAGGGCTCCATAGGCCTCAAGTGCCGCTCTAGGTGTACTTTGTTCGAAGGGAGGATTGTTGAGGATTATTGAGAGGAGTAGTCCCACATTTGCTAATTAAGAGGAAGATCATGAGTTTATAAGTACGGAAAACTATCTCCATTAGTATGAGGCCTTTTGGGGAAACCAAAAGCAAAGCCATAAGAGCTTATGCTCAAAGTGGACAATATCATACCATTGTGGAGGGTCGTGGTTCCTAACAGCTCCATCATGCTTTTTCACTTTAGAGCGGAATAATAAAAGTTATAGTTCTTCATATTTTGTTTCCCTAAATTAGTTTTGCGATTATTAATGGAAAAGTTTGTATCATGTATACACACTGTTGTCTAGGAGATAGAGTTACTCTAATCTTGAAGAATCTCTTAATTATTTTTTCTATTTGAGCAGCGGTGGCTCGACTGGCAGCCAGATGTCTGTCTGCAGTTAGTGCTTACGATCGAACATTAGAGCACGTGGAGACGTTGGATTCAGCACAGGTCAAATTTGATGATATACTGAATTCTCCCACATTGGATGTGGCTTGTGAGAAGATTGCAAGTCTTGCAAAGGCAAAGGAACTTGATTCATCATTGATCCTTTTGATAAACAGTGCTTGGGCTTCTGCTAAAGAATCCACAACCATGAAGAATGAGGTAACCTTTAGATTTAAATCTTTTCTCACTACTTTGAAGCAATTATATTATAGTGGATTGCCAATGTCCTTGCTCACAATATTACTTGCTGGTTGTTAACTTCGAAGTTCTCGGACGTAACCCCCCTGCACCACCCCAGTTTTGCTCGAGTTTTTCAAATTAGTCATTTTTGAGACGGTCTATTGTCTTTGTTTTATGCACCACCCTAGTGTTGTTTGAGTTTTTTAAATTATTCATTTATGAGATGGTGTATTGTCTTTGATTCATGCACCACCCCAGTTTTGCTCGAGTGTTTCAATTTAGTCACTTATGAGACGGTCTATTGTCTTTGATTCATGCACCACCCCAATTTTGCTCGGGTTTTTCAAATTAGTCATTTTTGAGACAGTCTATTGTCTTTGTTTCATGCTACCACCTCAAATTTGCTCGAGTTTTTCGAAGTAGTCATTTTTTTAGCGGTCTATTGTCTTTGTTTCATGCACCACCCCAGTTTTGTTCGAGTTTTTCAAACTAGTTATTTCTGAATGGGTTATTGTCTTTGTTTCACGCACCACTCCAGATTTGCTCGAGGTTTTCAAAGTAGTCATTTCTGAGCAGTCTATTGTCTTTGTTTCACACACCACCCCAGTTTTGCTCGAGTTTTTCAAATTAGTCATTTCTAAGCGGTCTATTGTCTTTGTTTCATGCACCACCCCAGTTTTGCTCGAGTTTTTCAAATTAGTCATTTTTGAGTGGTCTATTGTCTTTGTCTCACACATCACCCCATTTTTGCTCGAGTTTTTCAGATTAGTCATTTCTAAGCGGTCTATTGTCTTTGTTTCACCCACCCCAATTTTGCTTGAGTTTTTCAAACTAGTCATTTATGAGACAGTCTATTGTCTTTGTTTCACGCACCACCCTAGTTTTGCCCGAGTTTTTCAAACTAGTCATGTCTGAGACGGTCAATTGTCTTTGTTGCACACATTTTTTTTTTGTTCGGAGAAACGAGCTTTCACTTTTAAATGCAACTATTGTGTCACCTTCTCTGTCTTTCTCTGTGTGAATGTAGGTGAAAGAAATAATGTATCGTTTATACAAAGCCACAAAGAGCGGTCTAAGAAGCATGGCCCCTAAAGAAATAAAGCTATTAAAGCATTTGCTTAACATCGTAGATCCTGAAGAACGATTTTCTGCTTTAGCAACAGCCTTCGCCCCAGGTGATGGAAGTGAACCAAAAGATCCAAATGCTATTTACACGTGAGTAGCTCTGATATACATTATTTTCCATCAACATTTTACATGTTCACCTCAAAATTACCTACTACTTGGTTTGTCTTTGAACTCTTAAGTTGTGAGATCCCACCTTGGTTGAAGAGGGGAACGAAGCATTCCTTATAAGGGTGTGAAAACCTCTCCCAAGCAGACTTTTGAGGGAAAGCAAGGAAGGGAAAGCCTAAAGAAGACAATATTTGTTGGCGGTGGGCTTGGACTGTTAGAAATGGTATTAGAGCCAGATACTGGGCGGTGTGCTAGCGAGGACGCTGGGCCCTCAAGGGGGTGGATTGTGAGATCTCAGATCGATTGGAGAGAGGAACAAAGCATTCCTTATAAGGAGCAGTCGCGTTTTAAAACCTTGAGGGGGAAGTCTGGAAGGGAAAGCCCAAAAAGGACCATATTTGTTAGCAGTGAGATTGGACTGTTAGAAATGATATCAGAGCTAGATACCAGGCGGTGTGCCAACAAGGACGCTGAAACCCCAAGGGGGGGGGGGGGGGGGGGGGGGGGGGGGGGGGGGGGGGGGGGGGGGGGGGGGGGGGGGGGGGGGGGGGGGGGGGGGGGGGGGGGGGGGGGGGGTTGTGAGATCCCACATCAATTGGAGATGAGAACAAAACATTCCTTATAAGGGTGTGGAAACCTCTCCCTTGCAAACACGTTTTAAAATCGTGAAACTGACGGCGATACGTAATAGTAGGCCAAAATGGGCAATATCTACCAACGATGGCCTCAGACCATTACACAAGTTTAGTGGTTCAAACGAACTATTCAGGGTTTGGGTTTTAAGCCCGTACGTACAGTGCTATAGGCTCATTTTCTTCAAAATTCGAGTTGAAATAAACATATTTGAACATTCTCCACAGTAATGTCGTGCTATGGGCTCTTTTTCTTCGAAGTTTGAGCCAAAATCATCATACTTTTAGGAAGTGGTTGTTTTAATTATTTTCTTTATTTTGGTATCATTTGTTTCTTAGATAGATGAAAGCCATATAGGCGAGTTGAGGCGAGTAATGCTAAGGAACACTTAATGCATGCCTAAACTACATCTCAACGCTCGTCTTAGCTAATCATCTATACGGTTAGCTTAGACGAGTGTCGAGATTTATAACAGTGACGACCAAAATAACAGAATTAAATACTTACAAGTGTTGTAATGGAACAGAACTCCAAAAGAGCTGCATAAGTGGATAAAGATCATGCTTGATTCATACCATCTGAACCAGGAAGACACAGACATCAGAGAAGCAAGGAAAATGGCTCAGCCTATTGTTATACAAAGGCTTTTCATTCTCAAAGATACCATTGAAACTGAGTATTTGGAACAAAATGAGTTGCAGAATCCTCAATCAAAACCAAATCATGTCTCTGCAAATGCAGTTTCCATATAGTTGTAAGTGTCTCTCATTTTTGTAATCTACCCAACACTAGGATCATTAGAATAGTTACAAAGTTAGGTAACTCGTGTCACGATATGACTTTTATTTTTAATAGAATTTTGTCGATATTTTTTGTGCTAAACTTAGATTGTTTCTTATTACAATTGTTAGATTGCTTTTTCTTCTGTTTGTAGTTTTAGTTAACATTGTAGGTTCATAATTGTGAGATCCCACATCAGTTGGAGAGGGGAACAAAATATTCTTTATAAGAGTGTGAAAACCTCTCCCTATACGCGTTTTAAAAACTTTGAGGGGAAGCTCAGAAGGGAAAGCGGACAATATCGACTAGTGGTGGACTTGAGCTTAGGCTGTTATAGTAACCTTTTCATTTCAATCATTCTCCTGAGATTGATTACAATACGTCAATTCTACTTATATTCTACTTGTAATGCTTGTTTTTGGGAAAACAAGCACATGTTAAGCAATGGTGGAGCTCACCCACCTGGGAAAATAAACTATATACTTTGGTATATTTTAGGAAGTAACTATATACTTTGGTATATTTTAGGAAGGTTGAGTACTCCTGATCTTTTGGTTGCTTAATCGGTTGAGTTCTGTTCAAGTTACATATATATATTAGCAAGGAATGGAATGAGGCAAGGTCGGGGTCGAAGATGGAGGCAAAGGCTACAATCTCAATCTCCATCCTAATACAAAAACGAGAATTTGTCGTCATTTTGTCGTCATCCTAGAATCCTTTCCATTCTCTCTATTTTGTCCGTCATTTCACCATTTACGAGTGATTGTTGTTTTTCAACATGAAATCAAATGTTATCCAATAATAGTCAAAAAGATTAAAATCACAACATCAAAATCTTTCATTTGAAACCAAATGTTATCCAATAGTAGTCAAAAAGATTAAAATCATGTCGTTATCACTGAATCAAACACAACTCAAACAGCTTCATAACCTAACCCGAACTAACCCATGTGTTGAGTTGGATGGCATTGATCGATTTTTTCGAGTCATCAGAAACCATGTAGCTGCTTCGAACTTGAGTTCATTCCGTAGCAACTATTCTTTCATTCATCATGATTTATAGTAAGCACAAGGTTTACACCAAAAATCCTTCCACCTACTTTGAATTATATGTCAATAACACAGCTTCCTCCATCATACATTTCATTGACAAACAGTGTCAATGCAAAACCATCGACTTAAACACAACAAGCACAGCAGACCCTAAACCACCAAACTATATATGAAAACCATCGACCTTCGACCTTCGAAAATAGACGACTGTGGTGTGCTATAATAAATATTAACAGACTATACACACGAGTACGACGCCGAGAACATACGAAGTAATCTAAGCACACAAACCTGAATGAATAATAACCGGAGAGATACACGCTTCTAACTGACCAAGAATTCTCCGCTTGCATGAACTTCTTTCACCCTCTTATCATACTCGTCTTCTTCTTCCTCTTCCTCTTCTTCCACCTTTCCATCGACATCCTCACTGCCTTCTTCGTCTTCTTCTTCTTCGGTTGCCCATCCAAAACCTTTGACGGGTTTTGACGATGGCGGTGGGTTTCTAGCCTCCCCCACAATTTTCATAATTTCATCCACAGTTTGGAGGGAGAAGCTCGGGTTGTCTCTCTTGTAATATGCTGCTTGAGCCGATTCGGTCAGTTCTCTTGGCAAGTTCTTCAAGAACCATGGATGATTCTTAATCTCCATTAAAGAAATTCTCTGTTGAACCATACAAATGTAGAGGTACTCAATATTAAAAACGTGTATAAAAAAGTCGTCGGGATGTCCCTATAGTGCAACACAACGATATGAAAACTGAAGATTCGAAACATGAACGAAAAGTTGGGAAGTCAAATATTCGACCTCGGCTACTCCCACAAACCTGAAATGTAAGTTATATAAATATGTGGAGTAAACAACAAATGTATTGGTCATCTTGATCTACCCTCAGTTATGTTTACAATCATTTGTGAAGAGTTGGGCACCTCACCTCTCCCAAACCTCTCTAAGGACCTCTCCACACTAAGAATTCTACTGTTTCTCTCAATCCACTGCCCACAAGAAAGCAAAACAACAAGGCTGCCACAAGACCCTCCCTCCCCTTATTACGAAAAGGCGAGTTCGTCACGATCTCCACAAATAAAGACTAACATCCCTATTACGCACCCCAACACCGCAAAACAAACTAAAACACTGACTCTAGAGGAAGTAAGCAAATAAGAAAACTGCCAACCACACGAGATAATTAGGATCCTCCTCCTACTGCAAGTGCAAAACCAAGAAAGAAGGTTCACCACCTCCAAAGACTCTCGACGAGTGGGAGGATGACGAAACCCAAAAAATGCTATCGCCCAGGAAAAACCCTCTTGGGTGCTAGCAAAGGATGGCCACAGAATTCAAACAAAAGCTATCTGCAAAGAATCTTCTTACCATTTACACCATTTCTCTCTATCCTTCAAGGTTTCCTTCTACTAAACATATTGAACTCTTCTACATTTCTTTGTTAAAAACTTAGAAAATCAGCAAGAACTCTTTTGCTGGTTATCTTTTGGATCCAACAAAAACCAGTTTCAAATCTTGTCTTCTTGAAGATCTGAAGATTCAGAGGAGTGATTATCAAGCCATCCAGAGGCTTTGTTTGTGGAACTACCAAATGGACCAAAGACATCTAAAAAATGTTGGAATAACTTCTTCCTGTGAGTAGAATACTTTCCTATTCTTCTCTCTTTTATCTGAATCAATGGTATATGTGTTTTTTACACTTCACTTTTGAATTACTAACCTCTTCATCATTCCAAACATAAGTTAAGTGTAACAGGCCAAACCCATCGCTAGCAAATATTGTCCGCTTTGGCCTGTTATGTATCGTCGTCAGCCACACAGTTTTGAAACTCGTCTACAAGGGAGAGGTTTCCACACCCTAATAAAGAATGCTTTGTTCCTCTCTCCAACCGATGCGAGATCTCACTATCCACCCTCCTTGGGGGCCCAGTGTCCTCGCTGGCACACCACCCCGTGTCTGGCTCTGATACTATTTGTAATAGCCCAAGCCCACCGCTAGCAGATATGAACCGCTTTAGCCCGTTACGTATCACCGTTATCCTCACGATTTTAAAACGCATCTACAAGGAAGAGGTTTCCACAACCTTATAAGGAATGGTTCGTTCCCCTCTCCAACCGATGTGGGATCTCACGTGAAGAAAGCTACAACCATAGTGCCAACATACAACAAACTGAAGAGAGAGAGAGAAGTGTTGGAGTGATTAATATGTGTGTTTGACAAGTATCAAATGTTAGAATTTCTAATACATATCGTAAACAAACACGTTACTTAATCTAAGATATCTGCACTTCGTACATTGTAACTCATATCAATCGACCGAGACTATAATTTTATCAAAAATCAGTCTCATAAAATGTCATGAAAAGAGGGCAACACCAAGGCAGGAAAAAAAGGCTTAGAACGTACTTCGTTGTGAACTAGTGGATTGTATGGTGAAATAAACATCACTTCAGCAGGGGAGATAAAGTATGAAATGAGCTAACGGAGAGTAAATAGCTTTCCACAAACATACAGTTAGCAATGCATCAACCAAAGTCGGTATAGTTTGTTAGATTTCCTTAGATAAACATAATATTCTGTATAAACTACAAATATAATGCATAGACATTGCACATAAACTTGTCAATCAAACTTACCCTTGATGGATTAGGGACAAAAATTCGAGAGAGAAGGTGTCGACAGTCTTGAGATATATGAACATAGTCTGGAATTTTGTACTGAACAGCCATAATACGCTGCCAAATAAAAGATGAAATAATAAAAAAGATGAACTACTTTTCTTTCAAAAGTGGCATTGTTGGGAAGGGTTATACCTGAATCGTTTTCCTAAAATTTTTAGGATCCTCCTGATCCTCGAAAGGGTATGCACCAACCAACATGACGTAAAGAGTTACTCCACATGACCACACATCTGCCATCTAAAAACAGGATAACAAAATTCAATTTAAAGAAGAAGAAAAAAAGAAAGCTGCTGCATTTGAAAAGAAAGGATATCCATTAATTCTTCTTCTACCAATAAGTATCTTACCATTTATTAGAAAAACTAAACTTTATCATGGTTACTAACTTATTATCTATGAGAGTCATTGCTCAATTGAAATGGACGTGAAACCATGTGTAAAAAAAAACCATGGATGTGAAACCATGGATGTTGGACGTAGCTAAGTTTTCACCAATATGATATCATCAGGTTCATAAGCACCTTGCCATCGTACTCTCTTCGAGAAAGAACTTCTGGTGCTATATATGCTGGAGTACCAACAGTTGATTTTGGTCTTGAATGCAGCAAGGATGACTGAACAAAAAGATGATAAGTTGGTTAGAAATATACACCAAAAAGAAATGGACAAGCAGCTTTGGATTTTCACAAACCTTGGAGTAACCAAAGTCACATATCTTCAAGCGAGGTGCGGTGCTTCCATCTAAAAGTGTATTTTCTAGCTTAAGATCTCTATGACATATTTGCTGCAAAGTGAAATCAATTAGAAAGCGAACTTGATTTTTTAACCAGAAACTACACAATCTTCATTGGATTTTACCATTGAATGGCAATAGTTGACACCAGAAATTAGCTGCTGGAAGAAATATCTAGCCTGTAAAATGAAATAGGGCAAAATGTCAAACAAAGAAATCGTGATTCCTAACATGGTAGCAGAGCCATGCCCTTAAATTAGCCATGTAATAGAATCCTCAAAATGTCAAACAAAGAAGTTGTAAGCCTCGAAGGTGTAGTCAAAAGTGACTCAAGTGTCGAGCAAAGGGTGTACTTTGTTCGAGGTTGCTCGAGGACTCCAGAGAAGGAGTCGAGCCTCGATTAAAAGGAGGCTGTTTGAGGGCTCCATAGGCCTCAGGGGAGGCTCTATATTTAACTTTGTTCGAGGGGACGATTGTTGGGAGGGAGTCCCACGTTGGCTAATTTAGGGAATGATAGTCTATAAGTAAAGAATACATCTCCATTGATATGAGGCCTTTTGGGGAAGCCCAAAGCAAAGCCACGAGAGCTTATGCTTAAAGTGGACAATATCATACCATTGTGGAGTATAAAAAAAAAAAAAAAAAAAAAAAAAAAAAAAAAAAAAAAAAAAAAAAAAAAAAAAAAAAGAGGATAAGGAGACCTCATCTTCACTGAAACGGCCAGCATTACAAATTCTTTCAAACAGCTCTCCTCCAGCAGCATATTCCATCACTATAGCCAAATGCGTTGGTGTCAAAACAACCTGCAAATCATAAACCAACTTCAAATCTATTTCTTAATCCAAAACTTGATGCATTTAACAGCTTCATGACGTTCTTAATTCATAGAAACAAAATTTTGGCAATTGCATGATATTAGATTACAGAAATCTTAAAAGGGTAAGAACTTGCCTCCTTGAAACGAATGATATTGGGATGCCGAAGCGATCGATGGTTTATAATCTCTCTAGCCACATTCTCATCTATCTGTCAATACAATCAAAACAGAAAGAAACAGCCACAAATCGTCTTAAATGATCAAAATCCCCCAATTCAAGAAGCCATAGAGAACAAGGCTGAGATAAATCAAAATCCCCAAATTCCTTGAAACAGAAGATTCGTATAATTTCCTGTGGAAAATGAAGAGAAGAAGAAGAAACCTTGTGACCGCGCTCTATGTACTTCATGGCAACAAGCTCTTTGGTTTCCTTGTGGCGGAGGAGTCTGGCAACGCCGAAATTGCCAGCGCCCAGATCCTTAACGATCTCGTATTTGTCCATCAGAGCTGCAGAATGGAAGAACAGAGCGAGGCAGAAGCCAAAAAGGAGAGAAAAAAAGAAGGGGAAAATGGAAGGGAATTGAGAGGGTGGTAAAGAAGAGCTAAAAATGGTAGGGATCAGATCCAAAAAGCAAAATGGGTTCCTCCATATATAGTGGTGGGGTCAGGGAGAAGCCATAAACGAGAGAGAGAAGGAGAGGCATTACGCTAAATCACATGTAAAAGAAGGAATTACAAAGGAGAATGAGAATGAATGTCTTTCATGGAGGCTACGATACCAATCATTCCTTGTCTCTTCCTTTCTTCTTCTTCTCTCTCATATTGGATTCCTCCATTTTTCTACGCTCAAAATCCATTATATATTTATTTATTTATTACTTATCTTGCATCCAACTCTTAAATTTTTTTAACTTTTATTCCAAACAAAAATGAATTGAAAAATTTATTGTTGGGTTGGATTGGGTTGGGTTCATTATTTAATAAGAGTTGTTTGGGTTGAAAAAATTTAGGAACAATTAAGTTGAGTCTAAAAAATGTTTCAATACAACCCACGAACCCCTCTAAAAAAAATATACTTCAAATACAAAATTGCATCTCAAGTCAAACTTTTCAATATAAACTCGTAGGAAGACAATACCATACTACTGTAGAAGTTCATGATTCCTAACTTGGTATCAGAGTTATGTGTTTATCCGCCTCAAAAGTGTAGTAAAAAAGTGATTTTAAGTGTCGAACAAAATGTGTACTTTGTTCAAGGGCTTCGGAGAAAGGAGTCGAGCCTCAATTAAGGGAAAACTATTGGAGGGCTGCTCCATTAGTATACTTTGTTGGAGGAGAGAATTGCTGAGAATTATTGATGGGGAGTCTCACGTCGGCTAATTAAGAAGATGATCATCTCCATTGAAACGAGGTATTTTGAGAAAACCAAAAACAAACTCACGAGAGTTTGAGAGATCGAAATAACACATTCTTAAATGTGTCATAATCTCGGCATGCAAATCCCGGGTGACATGCACAAAACTTCAAAATCTCTCATAAAGCTGCTTAGTTGCTGTTGATGGCCACATTTGTTGGTGTCTCGTAAAGGAAGTTTTTGAGGTGAGCTGAATGAGTGAGCCACAAATGAAGCACACAACGACACACCTTAGGGTTATAGCAATCACTTGTCTACTAATCGAGACAGGCTGTACTCGGTTGAATGAGCAACTTCCTCAACACTCAACACCACATATATGGCGTAGAAAGGAGTCGATCAATGAACTAACATTATATTTTTATTTAAAACAATAATTTGAATAAATGGCTCAAACAATCCAATCCTGAAGATTATGCTTGGATTGAGTTGATTATTTAATAAGAGATGTTTTGGTTAAAAAATTTACATTCCGAGCACTTGGGTTGGGTCTAAAAAATATTCCAACCCAACCCACGAACACCCCTACTTCAAATACTCTACTCCATTAATTTAAAGCTAACTTATTTTAGAATAAGAAATACACGTGCATAACACGACAAATGCACTTGATAATACTTGGGAGGTGAAACTAGTGTTCAAAAAGCTAATTTTCAAAAGTAAATAAAATAAAATAAAATAGTTATCGAACATAATTTTTATAACACGATTTTCAATATAAGCTCGTAGGAATACATCTACGAGTAGGTATACACAAGTAGTATTCAAACTTGTGTCATACTCTTACTTATTTTAACAGCGCCGGCATGCAAATCCCCATCATAAAGCTGATTAGTTGTTGTTGTCGTCTTGTAAGGGAAGTTTTGGAGGTGAGGTGAAGGCGAAGGGGCTGTTGAATGATCGGCAAAAGCACAAATGAGTATCACAATAACAATGGGTAGGGTCACCGCAATCACTTGAGGAACTGCATGTGATGTGTATCAGAGAGCTTGGTTTTAAGCCCAACGGCATGCCATTCACTGCACAGTATAAACCAACACTTTAAACAACTATTTTTGGCTGTAATTACTTATAAGGTGAGAGCTTCTACCTGAACCAAACTCGGGTATGAACAAGATGATCGCAGCTAAGAAAGCGAGTTTAGTACACAACTTTCGAGCCATGACTATGGTTATGGTTGAGTTTCTTTCAAGCAAAAGGCTTATATAGTTGGGGTGTTCTTATATAAGGTAACTAAATCAGGGGATGAATGCAATAAATGGAAGGTTTAGCCTCACTAGGTTCAATGGATGCATTTGAAGAACGTATGAACACATGCATGAAATTAGGGTAAACTTTTCCACAAAAAATGAAGATAATTTTATAGATTTCTTGCAAATTCCCTCAAGAAAAAACAAAGGGAATTGTGTGCTTTTCGTACCGAATTTGAAAGATAGTTTCGACGGTTAGGATTGTATAACTCGTATATTCGATGTAGATGAAACAAAAGAAGAAAGAAGATGAACGGAGAAATAGACATGGAGACACTGGTCTTGAAGATATTAGGCATTCCATTACAGTTTGGCATATGTATCATATTTGACCTTTGATTGTAGGTTAATATATTGTATTGTTGAGGATATTTAGCCTTTGATTACGATTTAATATATTCTTTTATTACTCTTTTCCATATTCTTTGTAATCTATTTGATCTTATATATATATGGAAAATTCTCATCGCTAGATGTGGTGGTTTTTAACAAATATTCTCATGGTATTAGAGCTCATCTAATTTAGAAACCTCCATCTTTTGTTCTGTATGGCTTCCGAATTCTCTTCTCATCTTCTTCCTTTCAATACTCTGATCCATATTGTCACCGTCAAGCTTTCTTCTTCCAATTATTCTTTGGAAAAGACAATTTCTCACTCTATTTGGGAGTTAAGATATGTTGAGCCACGTTGATGGAACTTTAGTTCTACCACCTCAGTTTAAACCAGCAACCTCCTCAATACCCAACACCAAATATTTGGCTTGGAAAGTAGCCGATCAATAACTTCTCTTTCTCCTACCCTTTCTCATTGGGGAAGTTATTGCTGTCGTTGTTGGTCTCTCCACTGTCCGTGATGTTTGTTGAAAAATATGGAAAGAAACTTAGTGTTTTCACATAATGATTTAAATACCTCTATTAGGGTGTTCTCAACAGAGTTGAGGTTGTGAGGTCTTATAGACATGAGTACATGTTTTTTCTTACTTTTTTTATGCTTAGGACAATATTTAGTAGATATAGTATGATACTAAAACGAGAAAACAACTTTTCTGAACGAGTTAGTGACCCTCGTCCCAAAGAGGAAAAAAATGTCAATACTAATACGTATGGAAAATGACTAAAAAATGACCCGACAATGAAAGTGTTTAAGTTTCATATTTTAACTAAACACATGTGTCAAATTCATCAAATTTGAGCGTTTCTTACATTTTCATTGAAAAATATTGAAAGAATCTTAGTTTATTCACATAATGATTAAAGTGCCTTCGCTAGGGTGTTCTCGACAGAGTTGAGGTTGTGAGGTCTTATAGACATGAGTAAATGTTTTTTTTTCTTATTCCTTATTTTATGCTTAGGACAATCTTTAGTGGATATGATATGATACTAAAACGAGAAAACAACTTTTCTGAATAAGTTAATGACCCTCGTCCCAAAGAGGAAAAAAATGTCAATGTTAACTCATATAGAAAATGATTCGAAAATGGCTCGAAAATTGGCAGATGAATCTCCATTCGTCGATTGGTTTTTGAAATTTTTCTTGTTTTTATACCTACTATTGTCTTGATGCTTGACATGCACCTTCAATCACCCCTTCTTGCCTCATAGACCTCCTTTTCTCTTGTGCTTGTAAAACATTCAAGAGCTCTATAAGAGAAATCTTTGACAGGTGTTTGGTGTTCTCTAGAGTAGTAATGGTGGCTTCAAACTTCTTTGGAATAGTGACTAGCCACTTTTCAAAGATCATGGAATCATTTAACATAAACCAAGCAATCTCACATTGTTGGCAATGCTGAGAAGTCTGTCAGAGTACTCTTTCACCGACTCAGACTCCATCTTCTGCAACTCGAAATCCCTAATCAAATTCAGAACTTTCATTCCACGAATCCTCTCATCTCCTTCATATTCAACCTTGGGATAATCTCAGATTTCGTTTTTCTGTTTTAAGGGACACTATTCGCATGAAGATCATCTGAGATACTGCTGCAAATAGGCAAGCTTTTGCCTTTGATTTTCTTGTCTTCTTGTCCTTCTGTACTTTGATTTGTGCTACAGTAGGATTTGCTGGAAGTAGAGTGACCTCGTAATCCTCTTATGTTGCTTCCCAAAGATCCAAAGCCTCCAGATAAGTCTCCATACAAACTGCCCACATTTGATAATTGTCCCCCATCGAAGACAGGTGGTGCAACAGGTGAAAAAATGGATTCTCCTTCTATTTTGATCTCCTCCCAGATTCCTTAAGGAGATAGCTCTGATACCAATTGTTAGTGAAAAAGAAGTGATTGAAGGGTTGATGGGAAAATTATATTACAAAGAGCAAGAATGTTTTATATATAGAGAGAATACACATAGATATTCAAAAACTTAATCAAATTAATTCAAATAAAAAATAAATCTAACTCCTAACTATGAGTAGATTTAATCAGATACAACAATCTAAACAAATACGTGATCTTTAACAAAACGAGATATGGTATGATACTAAAACGAGAAAACAACGTTTTTGAACAAGTTATTGGCCCTCATCTCAAGGAGGAAAAAAAAAAAAGCGTAAAGGTTAACCCGTATGTAAAATAACTCAACAATAGCCTGAAAATGAAAGTGTTTAAGTTTGGTATTGTAACTAAACATATGTTTCAAATTTATAAAATTTGAGTGTACCTTAGAGTTTCGTTCAAAAATATTGAAAGAAACTTAGTATTTTCACCTAACGATTTAAGTGCCTCAATTTGGGTCTTCTTGAAAGTGTTTAGGTTGTGAGGTCTTATAGACACGAGTATATGTTTTTTTCTTCCGTATTTTACAATTAGGACAATCTTTAGTATATATGGTCTGATACTAAAACGAGAAAATAACTTTTTTAAATAAGTTAATGACCCTCGTCTCAAAGAGGAAAAAGAGTGTCAGTGTTAACACCTATATAAAAATGACTCAACAATGGCCTGAAAATGAAAATATTTATTTTCGTACTTTTACTAAACATATGTGTCATATTCATCAAATTTGAGCATTTCTTACAATTTCGTTGAAAAATATTGAAAGAAACTTAGTTTTTTACATAATTATTTAAGCGCCTCCATTAGGGTATTCTCGATAGAGTTGAGGTTGTGATGTCTAATAGACATGAGTAAATGTTTTTTTCTTCTTCTTTATTTTATGCTTAGTACAATCTTGTGTGGACATGGTTCGATATTAAAACGAGAAAACAACTTTTCTGAACAAGTGAATGACCCTCATCTTAAAGAAGAAAAAAAGTGTCAATATTAACACCTATAGAAAATGACTCGAAAATGGTCCGTAAATGAAAGTGTTTTAAGTTTTTGTATTTTAACTAAGCATATGTGTCAAATTCATCAAATTTGAGCGTTCCCTACAGTTTCGTTGGACTTTGCATGAGGCTTCTTTGGATTTTGCATGTACCAATGAATGACTGCAACTTCCTTTTCAAATCCCTTTGGTTGGTCTATGTTGATCTCTCTGTCTAACTCTCCATGCAAAAACTATTCTCCATGCAAAAACTATTCTTCACAACCATCGGTCATAATTTTCAGTCATTACTTACCGTAAATGCTAGCAGGATCCATATGGTAATGATCTTTACCATTAGACTAAATGTTTCATCGAGTCTATTCTATATTGTTGAGAGAACCCTCGAGCTACTGTATGAACATTGTATCTCTTATATCATATTTGATCTTTTATTAGAGGTAAATATCTTAGAGCTTACCATAAGTATCATATTTGCCCTTATACATAGAAATATATTGTATCCATTTATTGCTATTTTCATATCTTTGGTAATTTATTTGATTCTCTAAATAATTATAAATAGAGAACTTTCTCTAGTGGGTGGTTTTAGAAAATATTCTCATGGTATCAGAGCCCTTTTGGTTTAGCAACCCCATTCTTTATTTTCAATGGCTTCTTAATCCTTTACTCATCTTCTTTTCCACCACCACTCTTGGTTTTGACGCTGTAGGGGCAGTCTACATGGCTGCCGCAGGCGAAACCGATTGATTACTTTTCGGTTCCGCCCTTTTGACCTCCAAATCACCCTTCACCATACTCTGTACATACAACCTCACCTTCTTCATTGATTCCCCTTTAGCCAACATAACCTCTCTTATTTTCTTCCCAATCGACCGTTCATCCTTCACAAAAATCCTAACCTCATGATCCTCATCAGCATTCTCATTGGAAATATACGGAATCTTGACAAGCCCATTGACCTTTTGCAGAGATTTACCTTCGGAATTCGGGCACCGCACTGGCCTCTTTGCCAACAAAGTCACCGCTGGCCTCCTCGCTAAAATCGTCTCTTTCACCCAGTGTGGCAACTCTTTCGGCTTCAACACCGTCTTTGTCCTTTACTCTGGGGGACGTGGCTCCCTCTCCCTCCATTGGAACTTCATTACCTGCTATGGCGTCGGCTGCTTCTCCACTGGCTCCGCCAACTGTTCTATCACCAGCCTCCACTCCTAGTAATGGTGGTGCTATGAATAAAATCGCTGTCTCTGGATCTATCATTGTGGCTCTTCACCCACTCTTGACGATCACTTTATTAGTCAGTTAAAATATGCATGAGATATTCTTACTAGTGCTCATTTGTTTGATAGCAAACCAGTCCACAAGACGTAGACCCCACTCCAGTCTTTGCCCCTCTCTTTCTTTCTCCGTCTAAAATACACCTAGAATCCACATTCTGAGTTTCTGCCCTCTTCTTCATCTCTTCTTCCTAAACGCCTTCAAACCCTCTCTCTCTCTCTATCTCTTGCCCTTTTCTCAATTACTATCTTAATTCTGAAGCCTCGATCTTGCGTCTCTATAGTCCACTCCCCATGAAATTCGTAGGGGGTTTTCCATTCTCTTACTTTTTTTTGTTTTATTCACAACTTAACCAAAGCCCTTAAAATGACCCTTTCCCTCTATTCTCCTTCTTCATCTAGGTTTCCCTCCTACTTCGTGGGTTAGACATATTTTCTTCGGAGCCAAGATAGCATCGCTACTGTCCGATGATCCCGCTGCAATTTTCGATGGCGAAGAAAACACTATGCCACCCAACCCAAACGTCTCCTTCGAACCAGGTTGCTGACATCTTCACAAAAAGTGTTTCTCGGCCTCTCTTTGAATATTTCAAATTCAAGTTTCACGTTCGTTCAAATCCAACGCTCAGCTTGCGGGGGTGTTAAAAATATTTAGTACTGAATTATAGTTTACTAGAAAGATCATATTTGATATTTTATTAAAAGCAAATATATAGATATTTGCCTTCTACATTACCATAGGTATCATATTTTCCCTTTAGTATAAACAAATATATTGTATCCATTTATTACTCTTTTTATATCTTTGGTAATTTATTTGATTCTCTAAATAATTATAAATAGAAAACTTTACTGCCATGGAAGTGGGGTGATTTTAGCGAATATTGTCAACTATAAATTCTTGTTTATTATCTCAATCATATTTTGTGATGCTTTTTCATATATTTCTTTCTTCATATATCTCTAGCTCTTTTAACTTAGTTTTCTAGACATAGTTTGGATTTGGGTTTTGGATTTTTCCGGTCATTTCCATTTCACCACGTTCATGTAATACAGTTAAGAATGAAAAGTAAATAAATAAATAAGATAAGTTAATTAATAAATAATAATAATAATAGCAGCAGCAACAAAAACAACAACAGATCTCATCTCTCCACAACCTCTAATCATGCAAAAGTGTCTAATGTCCGCATGAACTCTAACACATGGACCATAGTTAAATTTAGTGATATGCATGTATGAAATGTCGCGTTGCATTATGATGAAGAGTTTTTTGATACATAACCCCTCAATGATGTTATAATTGATGAATGCGTGAAAACTTATACATATGACTGATTTAAGATAAAAGTTATAGGGACCTCATGCATATTGTATGTTCATTTACATCGAGAAACTTCCCATTTTATGATGATGAGTACGTACGCATACACTATGATAATAATGATATGATCATGCCTTGCATGATATTCGAGGGTTTGTTGTACCTCCGAACGTTTGGCTATAGCCAGCTAGCCCGACAATGATGAGCCTAGGGGGTGTGCGAGCCCCCTAGTGGGCTCACGCTTGCACGTGTGTAGGGAAGTTCTACACATCCAATTTTTTTCAACTAGAGACTACCTCTACGATGGTTTTAAATGATAGGTCCCTAATCTTGATTGCATGTATTTACGTTCACTGATCCCAATACTCGACTCACTTAGTAGTATTTCTTAAAATAGTTAAGTCATGTGTTTGGATTAAGTTCATAAAGAAAAGTATATTTCAAATATAAAATTTCATCTCAATTCATTAATTTACAATTGACTTATTTTAAAATAAAAAAACACGTGTTTAACACAAAAGAAGTGAAATTAGTATTCAAAAAGCTAATTTTCAAAAGTAAAAAAATCAAATAGTCACAGAACCAAATTTTTATAACTCGATTTCCAATGTAAGCTTGTAGGACTACATCTGCGAAAGCGAGGAGAGGTTCTATAGTGTACTTTGTTCGAGGGGAAGATTGTTGAGGATTGTTGGGAGGAAGTCCAGGGAATGATCATGGGTTTATAAGTAAGGAATACATCCCATTGGTATGAGGTCTTTTGGGAAAGCCCAAAGAAAAGCCATGAGAGCTTATATTCAAAGTTGACAATATAATACCATTGTGGAGAGCCGGATTCCTAACATGGTATCAGAGCCTTGTCTCTTTCAGCTGCAGCTAAAGATGACTACTGAAGGCAGTTTTGTTCAAACAGCATTACCAAAATTTGTTGATCACTACTATCTGCTTACTCAAATGAATAGAAGGAGGTAGCAGATCAGAAATTGAATGAGTTAAGAGCTCAGAACTACCTTTTCCAGTTCATCGATCGCTCAATTCTAGAGATTATTTTGGATAAAGAAACTTCAAAAGAAATTTGGAATTCAATGAAGAAAAATTCCAAGGAATACAAAGGTGAAATGAGCACAACTACTCTCTCAAGGACTTTGAGACTCTTCATATGAAGGAAGGTGAGACTGTTTTTTATTAATTTTTCCTCGTACTCTCACCATGGCTAATAAAATGCATGTTCATGGTGAAAAGATGAATGATGTTAGCATTATTGAGAAAACTATGCACTCCATGACTTCAAAGTTCGATTAAGTGACTTGCTCCATTGAATAATCCAACGATTTGGACATCATCACCATTGATGAATTGCATAGAGTAGTATATTGGTTCATGAACAACGTATGCAAATACATATTTTGGAAGAGCAGTACAGGGAGAATAAATCGTGTAGGTGGCACATTTCGAGGTAAAGGACGAGGACGTGAGAGACCAGGTTTTAACAAAACTCTTGTGAAGTGTTTTTATTATCATGACCTTGGTCATTTTTAATATGAATGTCCCAAGAAGAATAAGGGAAAGGAATCATAGACTCATTTTGCAGAAACTTATGAACCGCTACTTCTCGTGGCATATGTTGAAGAGAAGGTAGAACAAAAGGAGAAATCATCAGGTTGTTTATCCGAAATTAAAGCTCCAGAAGCTGTAACAACAAAATAATTGCTTCTTATGGCACATGTTGAAAAAGAAATAGAAGAAACCGCATGGTTCTTAGATTCAAGCTGCAGCAAACACATGTGCAGACTAAAGAATTCTTTTTAGAACTAGATGACGGCTTTCGCAAGTATGTAAAGCTAGGTGACAACTCCAGCATTGGTGTGACAGGAAAAGGGTGCATTCAGCTCCAAGTTAATAACGTCTCCCAGGTTATCACAGAGGTATTTTATGTTTCTGAATTGAAAAATAACCTCTTGAGCATTGGTCAATTGTAGGAGAAAGGCTTGACTATCATATTTCGTGATAACAGGAGTAAGGTGTATCACTAGAGATCTTATCATTGAGACAAAATGTTTATCCTTCTTGCCAAGATTCAATCTTAGAAGGAACAATGTTTTCACACTCCTATACACAATTTTGGAAAATCTCTCGCACTACAAGCACAAGCAGATGGTTCATGGCTAGCAAGAACTGGTATGTTCTAATTTATTATTCCAAGATTATCTATTGGGAAAGCAAAATAGAAGACCCTTTCCATGAGAAAGTATGTGGAGAGCATCAAAGCCACTTCAACCTCTTCATTCAGATATATGTGGTCCAATTACACCTATGTCAAACCGCCACAAAAGGTAATATTCTGATGATTTCAGCAGAAAATTAAGGATATTTTTCTTAATAGAAAAATCATAAGCCTTAGAATGTTCCAACTTTTCAAAACAAAGGTGGAGAAAAAAACTACAAATATTTTATGTTTGAGAACTGTTAGAGGTGGAGAGTTCGCATATACTAAGTTTATTGAGTTATGCTCAAATCATGGAATACCTCGACAACTCACTGCAGCCCACACACTAAGTTTATTTAGTATTCTGGTGCATATCCTATGTTCATGTTCCAGATAGCAAACGAACCAAATTGGATAACAAGAGCACAAAATGTGTTCTTTTGGGAATCACTAAAGAGTCTAAAGCCTATCGCTTGTAAGATCCATTGTCTCAAAAAGTGCTCATCAACCATGATGTTATTTTCAATGAAGAGGAGAGTTGGCCATGAGATGACAATTATCTTGAATCAGTTCAAGCATCTCTTGCCTGGAGTGATACAGTTCAAGCATCTCTTGCCTGGAGTGATACAGACGCCGATAGTCACCATGATGACAAAAATGAAGCCATAAACAACTCAGTTGGTGACCTTCATGAAGAAAACTCAGAGCAACACACATTAGACGAGCACATAATTGTTGATCCTGTTGTTGATCCCTCTAATGATCCTGCTGCTGTTCTTATTTCTAAATTAGCAGAAAAACGCTCTAGAAACCCTCCAACTTGGATGTGTGACTATGGGAGTGGAGAGAACCTCTCTAATGATGATCAAGGTAACTTTGCTCTATTTGTTTATCAATGTATGTTGCAAAAAGCATATGTGGATGCAGCAAAAAGTGCCAACTGGAGATGTGCTATGGATTTTGAGATTGAAGCAATACGGAAAAATGATACTTGTGTTGGGTTTTATGTCCTAAAACTCAGTTTGTAAACAAAGACATATTCTATTTTCAATAAAGTTATTATTAATGTTTATTCGATTGTTATTGAATAAAGTGTCATAAAGCTCATAGTTTGTAAACAAAGACATATTCTATTTTCAATAAAGTTATTATTGATGTTTATTCAGTAAAGATTGTTATTGAATAAAGTGAACTTTACGATCATTAATCTAAATCCAATAAACTAAGAACACTCTGGCTATAGTATGATTACTTGAACTATATGTATATGCAGAGACATAAAAGTGGATCAAGTTCAAGTATATAGTCAAAATGATCTATAGTATAAGGATAAGGCTGAGTACCTTATTCTGGGGACACTATGGATGCGGCCCACTTTTGTATATGATATAAACAATGTGATCACTAAATTGTATATGTGGAGACATGTGAGTGGGGGCATCCTATGCAATGAGTATTGCATAAGATCGGATCATGAAGAAAATCACTCTCTCTTTATAATGTCGTTTACTGTTGAGACTGATTTTCTTTTCATTCGATGACCTAGGGAACTCGATCTTAATCCTGAGCTAACCATGAACTTCTGTTCATTCGAAATTATCCTTAGATTTGCATGGGTGAGAGTGACTCGAGTTCGCCGACTCAATAGGCCTCCCATTTCAGGGGAAAGACTGGATGAATAGCTGGGACGTGGGGTGTAAGATGAAATACGCTCCTACCCACTTTTAGGGATAGAAAAGAGGTAGTTTCCTTAAGTACTGACTCCAGGCCTTGAACAAGGGGCCCCACCCACTCATTGGCCTGAGAGAGATTTGGTTTACTAGTTGGATCACAAACCAATTGTTCACAAGAGGATCAGTGGGACATAAGGAACAAGGAGTAACTTCAGGGGTAAAACGGCTAATTGACCCATCTCTAGTTACGAACAACCTGTGAAGGATCGACTTACTAATCATGGTTATATCAAATGGACAAAAATATATCTATAGTGAGGGGAGTGCAGCTACTAGGCTATAGTGGAGTATCCTAGTAGTTAACGAATGTTGGTTAACAAGGTTAATGAGCTTAACCAGTTAATCTTGGATCGTTGGAGCCCATGATCTATAGGTTCATTAGGTCCCTATGCTACCTCATATCGGACTAAACCATAGAACAGTGTGACGAGTGAGTTCGAAGTGTTCGAATTCAAATTAGGGAATATGCGCTACATATATACGATATATTTAATTGCATTTTTGTTTTATTTACGAATTAAACAAAAAGAGAGAATATGAGATATTTAAATAAGATTTAAATATCTTAATCAAATATGTGTCGGAATTAATTGAGATTGACATTTGAATTAATATTAAATATTAATTAAATAGTTTAATTAATTATTTAATATTACTTTAATTTGAAATTAATAATTCAAATTGATTGTTGAATCAAAATGAAGAAAGTCAAAATGTTTTCATTTAATGGAAAAATCCATGTTAGTGGAATTTTGAGGTATCAAAATTTGGTTTAACCAAACTTGCCCAAATAAACCTCACAAGTTTGAGTGGAATTTTGAGTGTCAAAATTTGGTGATCTCAAATTTGCATGAACATGCAAACATGACTCTGTAAATAGAGTGATCATGGTACATGGAAGGTCTTCTTCCTTGAAAAAGACCTTGAGAAAATTCTCACAAGCTCTCTCTTCATATGTACTAAATCCCTCCCAAGTTTAGTCACTCATCGGATTCTACAATCCCGTTCTAAGGCCGGAGGATAGTGGAGAAGACACTAGTGGTGGTTCGAAGCCGGTTCGTGAGGAAAAAGAAATTTGAACTACAAAAGGTTAGTATTCAAATTCATTAAGTTTTAATACTTATGAACATGCTAGTTATTTACTATAATTGATGTTCTAAAAGTGCCTAAGATTCAAATTGCTTCCGCATGTGTTATATTAACACCATCAACTTGGGATCTCACTGATCTTCCTCATGGTGCAAAAATAATTGGGGTAAAATGGGTGTACAAAACAAAGCTGAATGAACATGGAGAAATCATGGGTGTACAAAACGAAGCTGAATGAACATGGAGAAATCAACAAATATAAAGCTCGACTTATTGAAAAGGATGCACACAACAATATGGTGTGGACTATGTTAGGAATCACGAGTCTCCACAATGGTATGATATTGCCCACCTTAAGCATAAGCTCTCATGGCTTTGGTTTGGGTTTCCCAAAAGGCCTCATACCAATGGAGATAGTATTCCTCACTTATAAATCCATGATCTTCCACTAAATTAACCAATGTGGGTCTCACTCCCAATAATCCTCAACAGATTACACAGAAATCTTTGTTCCTCTAGCTCATATAGACACTATGTGATTGATATTTGCTCTAGCAGCTCAAAATAAGTGGATTGTGTTTCAATTGGATGTTAAATCAGCATTTCTTCGTGAAGAGTTGGATGAGAAGGTTTATTTAGCATAACCTCCTGGTTAAGTGATCAAGGGAGAAGAGAATAAAGTATATCACTTGAAAAAGGCTTTATATGGTTTGAAGCAAGCTCTCCGTGTGTTGTACAACTGTATTGAAACTTATTTTCTAAAGGAAGGCTTTGAAAGTATCCTTATGAACATACTCTCTTTTTCAAGGAGTGATTACAAGGTACTTTCTTACTGTATGTTTTTATGTAGATGACCTCATATTTACAAGAAACGATGAGGCTTTGTTGAGTTCTTTTAAGGAATCCATCAGGAAGGCAATTGATATGATTGATCTTGGATGAATGTGATATTTTCTTGGCTTAGAAGTGTCACAACGAGCTGATTGTATTTTCATTTGTCAAAAGAAGTATGCCAGGAGGTACTGGAAAGATTTAATATGGTCAGCTGCAATGCTGTATACAATCCTATTGTACCTGGATTTAAGTTTGATACGAATTCTATTAACTTGTCTGTCAACAACACCTTGTACATGCAAATGGTAGGAAGCTTAATGTACCTAACATCTACCAGACCTGACATCATGTTTTTTTTGTTAGTTTGCTTAGTAGGTATTTGGCTAAGCCTAGAGAAATCCATTTTCAAGCCATTAAAAGGGTGTAATGTTACATAAAAGGGACACTCACATATGGTATTTTCTACAAGCAAGACGATAATACTGAGCTTACATCCTACACTGACAATTATTATGCAGGAGATTTGGAGGATATAAAAAGTACATCAGGTTATTCATTTTTGCTAAGTTCAG